GCAACAGCCGGTGCCGCAGCAACACCCCAGCGCCAATCCAGCTATGGAACCGCAGGTCTTGCAATTGCAAGCGCAGGTGAGCACTGCGGGCAGGTCAGGTGGCGAAATCGTTGTTGTTGAAGCATTAAGTGTCATCGACAAGCCGACTACAGGAACCCGTCGCATCTTGTCACCGGCTTGTCGGTGTAGACAGCTCCCGTGGCCTGGAGAGGTCGACAGTCAGTGTCTGCCACATTACACAACTTCACAACTTACATGTTATGACAAGTCCGCGTTAAAAAACTCTTGCGCTGCTCTGAGTACACTTGGTGTGGGAACGGGGCTTTAAGCTGTGTCCTAATGCACTTCCCTCTACAGGTCCAACTCTTGCAGCTGCCAGTAGCGTCATTAACGCAGCAATGTGCGGAACTCTCCAGTCGGATGGCTGGCCTGGCAGAGTGGCAGCAGCAGGCGCGTGCAGAGCTGACCAGGTTGGCAGAGGCTGCGGAACAGTCCGCCGGCGACAGGCTAACCGGTGCGTACATGCGCGTGCCATGATTTTCGGTTTGTTTTCTGAGCTTGCAACCCGTTGCCTTATATGCACGTCCTTTTCCTCCCGCTGCCTGGTCGTCCTTGACAGATGCCGTCATGGGTGTGCTGGATACAACGGCGCGTTCGTTGAACGAGTTGCGGCAGCAACAAGATGAGACAGCAAAGCAGGTCGCGTTGCTCCTCCAGCAACAACAACAACAACAACAGCAGCAGCAGCAGAATGCGTTACCTGCGTCACCTTCGCCATCAGCCGGGCCTCCTGCGGTACCAGCAACTCCGCAGAGTGCGTGAACTGGAACGAGGGGTGGCATGGGGAGACTTTTGGACGGCACTATGAATTGGGCACGGGCTTTTCGTCGCCTTGCGGTTCGCGAAGGGGGGTCCTGAAGTACTGTCCTTTTTTACGTCTTCTTAAGCGCACCTATTCCTTCCCCGTTATTTCTCCATTTGCCATCATTCGACTCACAGCCAGCGGCTCCATGCTCCCTGTCCATGTGATACCGTACATGAATTCATGCGTCGTTCCGTGCTTCCCATGGTCACCAACGTGTGCAGGCGGCAGCCAGCGTGCCAGCGGGTCCATGGATCCTGGGATGGGTCCCTTCGGCATGCAGCAGTCGCGCATGTTGAATGGCCATATATCGCTTGGCAGCTTGGGTCGTGACTCCGTCGCGCAGGCGGAAGTGCGCACCGAGCTGGAATCCCTGAAGGTGCGCTTAGAATTTTTGAAGTTCGGGGGACAGAAGCCAAGCTGTCGCTTTGTTTTCTCTGTGTGTGTTATCGCAACGCATGACGTTATGGTGTCAGGTAAATTGCTTTCGCCATAGTTTTCTGTTGCCTCAAGCTGCCAAGGCCAGAAGCACGCGTTTTGAAGTCAGTTTTGTGTTTGGAACGCTCCCGTAGTCGCTCGTGGCGGACATTCGCAAGGAGGTGGCGACGGAGGGCGGCAGCCTTCGCCGCGAGTGGCAACGGGCCTTCAGTGACATGCAATCGCGCTATGGCGAGCAGACGAACGAGCTGCGGGCCCGCGAGGCGAATATTGCCAAGCTGAGGTGTGTCTGCTTTTGCCATGTGTGTGGATCATAGGACATGAAGGTCGGGCTTTCGTGGTGAACCCCAGCGGTTGTGGCTGCACGTAACCATGTATACAGGGGCTTGTGTTTATGCGATGTAGGCAACGAATGAGTGACACGACCAGTTCCTTGTGCCTGATTAATATATATCCTGCTCGATAGTGTCAAGGTTGCCAGGGGCCATGCCACACTGCTTGCAAGGGTAGCGCGCTGTGGTGCTCCTCTTGGCTCACCCGCACGCCCGCAAGGAGCCCGCTACGTTGTCGGGCTGAGCAAGTCACTGAGCGCGTCACTGCGCTCCGCTGTTCCGGATGCCCGCAGGGAGGCCGCGTTAGTGGAGGAGGCGGAGCGGCGCGCAGCCAGCGGCTTTGAGGAGAAGTTCTCAGCGCGACTGGGTAAATTGGAGACCAATGTTGACTACCTGACGGTGAGGAGAATCACATCCTTGGGCGGTTTTGGGCTATAAAAAGAGTAATCCTAAGTAACCCTAAGACCCCTTTGCCTGGATAGGAGATTGGCTGTTAAAGAAGTTACAGATTGAGCTGAAAGGATTGGGTTAACAGGCAGCAACAGCTCTTGTCCAGGAACGTGCCGACGAATCAGCTAAAATGGCTGAAATATTAGCCCATGCAAAAACTTTTAGGGAAAAAAGGAGTCTTGTCGTTATTACTGCAATTACTCTTGCTGTTGCTAATACTGTTGTCGTAACTATGACAACCTACGCCTGATAACCTAAACCTGAACCTACCTCACACCTCAGCATCGACTAGAGGTTCTGGAGGAGCAGCTGTCCGGTGTGGTGTCCTCCCTGGCCGGAGCCACGAGCCCCATGGCGCCACTCTCGCCATCGCGCATGGCAACTGCGATGGCGGCCGTGCGCAGCCAGCCAACCACGTCGCGCAGCGGTCCTGGTCCTGTCACTGAGAACCACAGCGGCGTCCGCGCTGCACAGCAGTCCAAGGCGGGCTTGACACCCACTGTGGCCATGGTGACTTCGGCGATAAGCCCTTCGTCGCCACCAAAACATGCAAGGTTCCGGTCAACCGCCGGACCTACGCCAACGGCGCCGAGTGGGATTACCGCCGCCAAGTCAGAGGGCGGATGCCTGCGGCGCGGAGGGGTTTCACTTTTCAGCGCCACAGGGCCTAAGGACCCGGGTGCTTCCAGTGGCGGCGCCGGTGAAAGCGCCACCGACAGCGGGACCGCGAGCGCCCGCGAGGCAGGCGCTTGCTCTGCGCGGAGCACAGGCGGGCGTGAAGCTCAGTCCGAGCAGTGGTGGCGGGCAGTGAACGCGGCAACGCCTGAGAAGCCGGAACCGGCAGACGCAGAAGCTGAACAACCGCAGACTGTACGGGATGCCGACGGCATCTCCCCTCGCCCTGTGCAGCCATCCATCGATGTGACCAGCGCAGATGCTGTAACTACAGCGCCCATGGGACCGAGACAGGGTAGCGCTGCAGGTCCCCGGTCCGCCGCATGCAGTGCGCCTGGGGGAGCAGCTTCAGGCCAGCTCTCGGCACGTGGGGATCTAATGACCACCCTTACTGTCGGAGGCGCTGGAACTGCAGCGATGGGTCGTAGTCCTGGAAAGAGCCCCCAGCAGCAGCAGCATGTGTGCGGCCACATCCACTCCGGCCGCACGGCGTTGGACAAGGAAACGATGCCTGAACCCAAGCTTGCATCGGCCACGGCGGCAGCAGCCCTGTCCCAGCGTGACACCGCATCTACGCTGGGACCTTCACCGGCACAGGGAGGAGTCACGCCGCGTTCGCAACCTGCCCACCCGGGACCCGGTGGAGGGGCTCTGGATCCAGCAAATGTGGCGCTGGGGCCGCAGCTGCTGACGCCAGCGGCGCATGCCCTGCTGGCACCGTCCGTCGACATACAGCGCTTGGCAGCTGTGGCTACCGCGCAGCAGCTGACTCAGCAGCTGGCCCAGCACTGGCAACAGCAGGCCGTCCTGGTTCAGCAGCAGCCGGCGCTGGCGATGGCTCCACCCTGGGGCGGCGGCCAACAGCAGCCTCAGCAGGCGGGGCCCCATGCCGTAGGGCCCGGGGGCTGGGGTGGGGATGGCGCCGGCGGAACGACGGGGCCAGACCGCTCTAGCATGACATCGCCGAACAGGCAGCAATCAAGCTCGGACGCGCGCTCGAGGAAGGAGCCGCCCATGTGTTTGTTTTGCCCCATGCAGTGATCTGTCTTGTCCTAGCAGCCGCAGCCAGCCAGTGAGACATCACCGGGACCTCCATGTGCGTGCACGCATCCGGGCATACTGTACCTCTTGCATGCATTCGTTGCCCATTCTCACTGATACCTTGTAGCAACGACCCCTACCGTGTCGGCTCACACTCGCACCCATACCCAAACTTGTACCCCTTTTATTATTAGCTGACGGCGACCATAGGATGGATCCGGACGGACATCAGAATTATCACACCCTTCCGTGGAACCCGGAGTCCAGTATAGGCTACATAGTTTTGCGTTTTTTGAGGCTCTGCTCCTTAGCCATGCCTGGTACGTGTGCAGTTGATGACGACGACGTCATGGGGGGTCTAGCCTCCAGGCAAATAGGGTTGGTTACAGGAACTGCTCATTTATTGAGCCCGTAGTTGGCTCAAGCTCGCAGCTTGGAGAAAGCTGAGGCTTAGTTGGTCCTCGGGCAGGAGATTAACCATATTGAGATGTGCCTCTCCTCGTGCGACCTATGAGACATGGACGGTTGTCCCGTGCGAGTGATTCGGCACTGTGAACCAGCGGTGTGACAGCATTGCATGTCCACAACCTAGACGATGTATGACTAACGATTCACAATAGCGTCTTACGGCGGTTGCGCTGTTTGTAATGATCATTGCGTTCGGCCCCTCGGCCGCAGGGCTGCGGTTCGCGTGCATGTCGGGGACTTTAAGGAAGCGGCGTTAATGAGCTACACCCGCCAATCCTATTCGAGCACAGTCCTCCGCCTGTGCTCTCTAAAGCAAATATATGCACCTCCACCTTCGCCCTCTAGGTGTTGTATACTAAAGAGTGCCGTATTGCAAAACCGGAACCTGCCGAATGTCGCTGGATAAACAACTGAGGGGGATAGTAAGACACTACCGATTTTACGGGCCTCTTTATCATGACAAAGTGTCAAGCCAGGCCCACGTAAATTGCGACATGCCAAACCCACTGACGTAAGATATGGAAGCGCATTGACCCAGAGTTTATGAACATATGATAACTGCACAACGTGTATAGCACTTTTATCCGTCATCTCCTTGTTTGTAACGTTCGTGGAAAAACCTAGTGTTCGTTGTAAATACAGGTAGGCACAGGCAATATACCATCTACTAAAGACTACAGAGAAACCAAGGGTGCTTTTAACAGCTTTGACTGGAGCTGGACAGTTTTAGCGATATGGATGTTGTTGGGTGTGTCGCTGCACCCGAGGTGACGCTCCCAACGTTGCCCAAGGAGCTTCTGGTGACTATATTTGGCCTCCTAAGTTCACACGAAAGGTCAGTTCGGCCAGGCACCTTGCCATGTAGCGACTACTCCTCGCACATTGCCGTTAAGCGTTTCATCCTGCTCCTAACTGAGTAAGTTTCCTATCCCGCAGGCGTGTGACTGTGTCACTGGTATGCAAAGTATGGCGCGAAGCCGCGAGGCCGAGCGAAGCTACTGCGCACCTTTGGGAAAACGTTGAAATTCGCGACCTTCAGGGTCACGTTTCTGTCCCACAAGGAAGTCATGCGGTCTGCGGGCAGACATTTGAGTCGCGTAGGCTTACATTGCAGGCGGAAGTCATCAGCCGCTGGCTCTTGCAACGTCGCGATTTCCTCAGGACGATGACGTTGTTCCTTTATTCGCGCCCAGAATACCGCGCGCCGGCGATGCTAATGGCTCCTTGGAGCTATCCGCTCGGTCAATCTCTGCCCATCCTGGCCGCATCCACCAAGCTCAGGCAGCTCACCATCCATGGCCCTGGCGTCCACGCGGCTGCCAGCTCCGGAACCGGCACCGTCACCCAGTCCGCATCCACCACCTCCTCCTCCTCCTCCCTCTCTGCCAAGGCAGCCGGCTGCGTCCTCCGTGGTGCGTTCTCGCTTTCATCCCTCCAGAAGCTGCACGTGCACGACATCCCCCACACCGCATCGCTCCACTTCGCCACAGCGTGCATTCGTCCAGCACCAGCTCCGGTCCATCAACAGCTCCCGAGCCACCTGAACCTTCTCAATCTACGCGAGCTGGTCATCAACAGGTGCTTCTACCAGGGCAGTGACGACTCGCACGATATTCTGGTGCTGGATGGCGGCGCTGTGGAGGCCTGGGCTGCACTGGGGGCGGCCCTGCAGGCGCTGCCCCTTCTGGAGCGCCTCGACCTGGCGCACACGCACGCCATCACCTACTGTGACCCAGCTCGCGGCGTCGCAGCTGCACCGTGGCCGCCGCTGAGCAAGCTTCGGGAGCTGTCGCTTGCACACGACCTGTCAGTGCAGCCGCCGCCACCGCCGCCAATGATGGGCGGCAGCGGTGTCGGTGAAGCTGGTGGTGTGCGGGGCAGCGGCGCCGCGGCAGATGCTGATGTTCCAGCGGTGGTGGTGGCGCCCACCGGCGGCTTCACTGCAACCGTTTCTCAGGCCGGGTTTCCTACAGCTACGGCCGCAATCGGCTACAATAACTACGCCGATGACCTTGATGCTTCGGGTACCCATGTAGACGACTTTAGAAACGGGTTGGCGGCAGCTGCGGGGGTAAGAGGAGGAAGCTTGGAAGCGGCAGCCGATGACGAGGTGGAGGCAGCGGCTGAAGAGATGGAAGCGGCGGCTGTCGGCGCGCTGTACGGCCCCCCCATACTCACCGTCGACGCGACTCACGCGCTTGTGGAGCTACTTACCTGGCTGCCCAGCTGCAACTCGCTGTCATCCCTGGATCTACGGTTCTGCGGCTTGGAGGCGGTGCCACTGGTTGTGGCGCACCTCCCGTCGCTGGCGCGGCTGGATTTGTACGGCAACCCACTGGTGACGATGCAGCTGCCGGGCCCGCTGCGTATTTTGGCGTGGTTGCGGTTCAGCTTGGACCCTTGCTACGATTTACTGGCCGACATGATGGCGGCGGAGGTGGGCGAGGAGGCGGCAGCGGCGGAGATGTGGACGGTGGAGCTGCAGGCGCCGCAGCTGGAGGAGCTCGAGGTGAGGATGGCTGTTGATCTTTCAACAAGTGAATTGTGTTGTCTGAAATTTGACCACACCCGCACTGCTTTTGTAAAGTTTTGAGAGGTTTCCCAATGACGTCATTGGGTGACGTCACTGGCAGGATACGGCATCAGGCATATGCACCTCCGCTGTGCATAATCCTCACTGATGCTCTGACTGACAGACGGACAGACAGACAGGCAGACAGGCGGCCATACGATTTTCATATGTTTGCTGTTGCATGCTGTTACCCCTCTCGACCGCGCAGGTGGAGAGCACCAGTGCGCGCGCTCTGGGGCTTCTGTGGGCGGCCGCAGCTGGCCTCCCGTGCATGCGGCGGTTGGTGCTGACAGATAAGAGCGCAGAGGCTCTCAGGAGCTGAAGGGCAGCGGCTGCAGCTGCAGAACCTGATGCGGCCGTAGAGACGTGGCAGTTTTGCACATTGTCCTCCTAAGCGCCCTCCGCAGCGCTGCCCTCGTTCTTAGCACACCCTCAGCTCCGACCCCGCCCAGGCCAGCTGAGTGGCGCTGGTGAAGCGCCTTGAAGGGCATTAGCTGGGAGGAAGGGCTTTTGCAACTATCGGGAGGGGGAGAGGGCAAAATAGTGAGCAAAGAAGACTGGGGGGAAAGGGTGGTGGAGGGAAAGGATGGGCTCGTTTTCCACGTTAAGGGCGTGCGTGTTTGAGGGCGAGACCACACCGCATGATGCCTGGGGTTCGTCCTCAAACATGCCGATGGAAGCCGAGGAATGTTACTTTCATCCGGCAGCAGCCCCCGGAGGAAGAGGAGGAGCTCGGGGGCCGTTTACTCCTGGACGAATGCAACACACCCGACTTCCGTCCTTTCCAACATATTCCAATTTTTTTAACCCAAGGATTTGCGTAGCTCAGATTTTGGACGTCTCTTAGAAGGTGCGTCGGGTTTCGTTGCTGTTTTGGGGGGCCCCCACAGGGCCTAGTGGGCGCCCTAGGGCGGCTGGCTTGTGCTGGTTCGGCCGCCACACCCGCACTTTACGTTGTACTTTGCTCTTTGGTCTTGTGCGCATGCTAAGATACGCTGCTTCGCTGAACTAGTGCGGAGTTACTGCAGTGTGGTTTTATTCAGCTTAGAGAGGAGAGTTCTTGTCGCTGGTGATGTGTACATTTCAAGCGCCTTTCAAATCCTGTACAATACACGAATCCATGTTGTATACTTCTTTTATGTACCATAGTCCAGCATTTTTTTTTGCCTGGAATTTCTTTGCCTCGGAGGTCTCTGTTGCTGCCCCTGCCCAATCCACAAGGGAGGCAGAGGTCATTATCACGGCCGGGGTAAAGCTTTGTATCATAGAGGATGGGCGGCTTACCCTGCCTGTGCGGGTATGAATGTGCGGGTGCGGGTGCGTGTGTGTGCGTGTGCGGCGTGTGCGCGGCGTGTGCGGCGCGTGTGGGCGCGTGGGCGTGTGTGTGTGCGTATGCGGGGAAAGATGTCCCGCAGGTCACCGCAGCCGTTCGCCCCCTTCCCCTTGTGGTGGAGTTGAGTTTGGTTGAAGCAGCCCTCCGCCGCTAACTGGACGGGCCTTGGGGATCTTTCTGTGGCTGATTTGCCGGGTGTTGCGGTACCCCTATCACCCGTACCTGCTGTGGGTGGTCCTTTCGTTGGCTCGTGGGGAGCCTCTGAAAAGTTCCCGTCGGCGACCGGTGGCCGGCATGGCCTGCTGCGGCGTATAAATAACCCACACAACCCACAAAATAACCCACGCGCATACACGTGTACATGTGCATAGGCAAACACGCACATTGGCTGATAGACCACATAGCCGTGAAATGTGTGGGAAGCCAGAAGGAACCCTAGAGGGCGGAATGGGGGAAACGTTGGTAAATGCTCTGGATTTAAGTTTTTACATGGACGACACATTGTATTGTTGGTTGGTGTAAACACGTTGCTCTAACACCACTTTTGAGTGGCGGATGCGCTTTCGCACGTTGCTGTAACGCTCACTACCGACCGCAGTCTGAAGACCCGCGGAGTAGCAGCAGCAGCCAGCACCAACAGCACATTAAGGGCATGCAGCTTGGCATGACAGGGCAATTCTTCCGGGCAACGTGTCCCACAAGAGTCCCACAAGATTGCGTGGGTTGGTGGGACCATCCGCGGCTTTGCTCCGGGGCTTGTATGAGTATAGGGGGGCCTAGCCTTAAGACAACTCCAACGCCTCAAACCCATCCGAAAGCCACAAGCGTACGGCACGAAGTAAGAGCGCGAATAAGCGCTTAAACGCCACAATCTGCAATTTTGCACGCTTACAACGCAGTAATTTATTTAGAACGCGTCTGCGAAGGATATGCCTCAAACGACGACGACTTCGCCAAAACTCAAATAAATCAATGTTAGTTTGAAGCCCGCGGCGGTTTCTCTGTAGGCATCCGTTGCCTCTCGAGGCTACCATGCCGGCGCCCAGGACGTCCACAACTCAAAATATTATTGTTTCAGAAGTATCCAAAGCTAATCTACTCAATTCGCCGACCTCAGCATGGTTGCCTGCGTGGGGTGGAGGGTGCCTGCTTTGTCCCTTATCAGCTTTTTTTTGTTCCCAACCACCTGGGTGCCTCAAAATTCTTAAAACTTACTATCAAGACGACTCTTGCAAAACTTCGTACAGGAGCCAGCGCTCGATTAGTTGCCCACATTCCATCACAAGTGTTTCACATGAATGAAAAAACATATATACTAGTTTTAGTAAGTATTACTAAGGACGCTGCTCAGGCAGCTCCTTAGTTTGGTCGCCACTCAAGTCGACACACACACACATATATCACCTTCCACGTGCCCGTCGCCATTAATAACCCCAACTAGAACCTCTCAACCGCTATCAACCGCCACCACCGTCCACCACCAATCAGCCGGCAACACCATCATACACCATGGGGACAGCAGACGTACATGAATGCAGCTAGCTACATATGCACCATCAAGGCTAAAACATCAACAGCATCGTACACGCGCGCACATGCAGTACAAGTGTTGTACCGAAGGAGCGGGTCAGAAACGAAGAAGTCAGGCCTGGCTTTGCTTGCTTCGTGAGCTGAACAAGCGCTAATAAGCTGGGTGGGCTACTCGGTTCCCGAACCACTTGCGCCGCACCAACAACAGAAATAACGGTAACAACGGTAACGGCCACATTGGAGATTGGAACTAACCAGCAGCAGCGATTAGGCCACCTACTAGCAGGCGGCAGGCGGTCGCGCCGCCATCTGCTGAGCTGGTACACACAGCAGCCGGCCACGGGAGACGTGGGATGGGGACCTTGGCTTCCGCTGCTAGTGGTAGCGACAGTGGCGCAGCGCGCGCACGCGGCCACAGCTTTTGGAGGCTTTTGGAGGAGACTTCCGCCATGAGATATTTTTTTCGATGGCGAAAATGTGCTACGCGCGCTCCAAACAAGAGCATCCGATGAATCCGACTCCTAACAAAGTTCACTTATTACGGCGTGGGGGTAACTTTAACACCCAGCGCTTACACACGCAAAAGAGGTCCATAGCAGGCGCACTATCTCCCAAACATGAATTTGGCGAAAGCGATATTTATTCCCTATAACATATAAGGTAGCTGAGGCCCCTTAACCTGGCCCACTGCTGTGTTTGGGGCTCTAAGGGCGCCCGCAGCCGCAATGCCCCGGCTCCACCTCCTGAAATGCAGTCCTAAAGAGTTTCCCAACCGGACCTACCACCACCACTGCCACCACTGCCACCACGAGCATCAGCACCACCTGCACGACCTCCAGCACCACTACCACCATAGCCACTGACGTGGCGCAAGAGAGAGTAGCAGAGCTCGTCAGCTGGCCCGGAGACTCACCGCCCAAGCTATAACCTTAGCTAAGATGATGGCTGGTTGCTCGATCCTGGGCAATCAGAGATTCCCGGATTGGTCAACTCGCAAACAAATAACGAAATGTTTAGTAATCCAGCCAACCGATTCACCGACTAACCGTCAACCAACTGGTGAACGGCGACCGTTCACGTTTGCGTGTGGGCAGGATGAAACCTATGTATGAGCAGGATGAAACCTATACACACACACACACAGATATGTACGACACCTCCATCAGGACGCCAAGTGGCTGCCTGGCGCTGGAGCTGACTTGGACACACTTCGTCAGGTGCGCACGACTTGGTGCAGGGGGTAATGAGCAAACCACATTGTCATTCAGCTGTTAGTCGACAGGCCTCCATCATCCCCACCGCCACGCACCCGCAGCGTGTCCGAACATACACAGCGCAGGCCACACAGCAGGCAGATCAGCACCATTGAAGCCCCTGACGCAGCAGCACAGCACAGACAGCACGGCGCAACCCACCAGGGCGCGAGCTGTTATAGTATTGCAAAGAATGCAAGGGAGCACAGGTGGCATTGAGAGACGCCTTCCAAGGCGTATACATGGATGAATGAGGTAGCTAAGGTATCAATTTGATCAAGTTTCTTCTTTTAGACGCACCTAGTCCTTTAAAAGGGGAGTGGGGAGAAGTTCTCTTCACTCCGCACTTCCGTACTCGAGCCATGTACGCCACTTTGCGGCTCTGAAGCAGCGCTTATGTAGTCATTGCTATCATCATCACGATGTCATCGGAGTTCAGTCAATGAAGGAAATTTCTATGATGAAATGAACTGAAGATGGCGAATTAGACGCATGTAATGATATTGTTGAACACGCATGAAGGGCAATGTGTTACATGTGGACAGAAGAATCTTTTAGTGAAACGCTTTAGTAACGAACGAACAGGCCCATGGTTCGCCTTGGAGTTTGTGCCTTCTTGGAAATTACAATAGAAGGCGTGCAGAACACATTTAGTGCATTTTTATATAAGGTATTCTCATGGGCTTCTCTGACAGTTAAACAACACTACGTAGAGCCGCGCACCCGCCCCTGCGCTGTGTTTCGGCCCGGTCAGGGCCCCCGGTGCTCGTCCTTTTTCGGGGTGAGCCGTGAGCCGCCCCACAGCGTAACACCCCAACACTCCTGTAGAAACATGACATTAGCCAAAAGCATCTCCCTGTCACAGCTTCGCTAATGATTGTGGTTGTGAACAAAATCCCTCCTTGGACAGGGTCGTTTGCAGGTAACATAACTCCCTCGAGCCTCGTAACTTTACTCCAGCGTACTTGTACTGTGCGTTAACAAGACAAACTGTCTGGAAGTAATGCTTTGCTAGGAATCCTTCTACAACGCTTCATGCATGTAAACAGCGACTACGAAGAAAACTAAAAGGGAGCAATCCATATCAGTATCATACGTAAAGGGGTACTACATTTCTCACGTAGTGGCCCATTCAGTTTCAGGGGTGTATACTTGCTTTTGCAAGTGGTTTGCAAAATCATGTAAGCTATTTGATTTAGCCACGCAAATCCGAAAGAATGCCATACAAGCAGTGTCATCCTGTACCCGAAGCTTCAGAGCTCTTCCGGCCCAGGTCGCCGCCACCGTCAGCGCCGCATTGGAAGCCGCGGAGGCTGCTGCCGCAGCAGCGGCCACAGAGACATCCGCGTCGATGCCGCCGAGGCCCCCGGGCTCCCGTAACCGGCGTCTCCGCCATGAAGAGCCCGAACCAGGTTCTTCAGGACGAGGATCTGGACCGGACCAGGACCAGGGCCAGGGCCAGGTTACCGCCACCGCCAGCGAAACGGTATCCGTGGCACCCGCTCTGGATCGTACACCGCTTGACGGTGACGTCGGCGGCGCCGCTGCCGCCGCCTCCAGCAGCGGCAGCAGCAGCAACCGCAGCAGCGGCTCTGGCCCCTCCAGTCCCGAGAGTCTAGTTGCGGCGAGGGCTCGGGCGCTGCAGATCAAGGTGGCCTTGTACCGCAATATGCGCTCCGAAACCAGGACGCCCTCCGCCAATTCCGTTAAGCTCATCTTCTCGCCAGTTGAGCCCAAGGAGGGTACGGCACCTGCGGCGGAGCAGGCTCAGCATCCTGGGCCAACCCAAATCGCTAGCTAGCGTGATACGCCCTTTCCTGCCCCAAACACACTAAAACCCGTCGCATTCGATGCCTGTTCATGTATACAACCCCCTAACGATATGCCCACCTACCATGCATACATGTCCTCGATAGTCAAACCATTCCCGCAGCGTGACGCAATGGCTGCGTGAAAATTATTGTGTTCATCAGTATGTGAAGCTACGCAAGCCGCCGCGGTGGCGCCGACCGGACGATACGCTGGGCCCCTCTGCAACAACTCTCCCCGCTCAACCTCATCATTGCGGCCAAATCGTGCCGCTGCATTTATACTTAGGCACAGAACGCGCCACAGCTGTCGTGCCCGCCGCATGGAATTTCTTCACACGCCCTAACACATAAATCGGCCTTTCCCATAACACACTTCCACTGGGGCGCGCAGTTGGAGAGCACACAGCCCTCCATCCTCTACACAAACCAGGACAACCACACACACACATCCACACACAACCACACACAACCACACACAACCACACACAACCACACACACACACACATCCACACACAACCACATACACACACCAGCTACACGCATCTGGCCCACCACTAGCTAAATCACGTCCTCCATCGTCTTTTCCGTACATATTTTCCGTACATTAAAAGTGACATCTTCGTGCGTCATTTTAATTACTCTTCATCTCCACCATTTCGCTCACGCGCCAGCCCCTTTTGGAAGTTCATTATCGAAGCGGGAAACAGCAACGACCAGCTACCGACCACAACCGTCAGCCCTTGGCCGTTGCTCGACCGCCACCTTAGGCCTCCACTTCCCTATTGCAACACACCACGATGCGTGTGATTGACACCTGGCGCACAGCCCTCCAACTAACAGCCTGCGACTCAACCTCCAACTAACAACGTCGTTCCGAGACGCCGTGGGTTGCCGCACCACCTGGATGTCGCGCGATGTAACAACCATGCACGCCTAATGATTGTCGCATGATTGGGAAAGCTGCCGAGCGGTGTGCTTAAATGTCCCCTCCTTCCGCAACTTAAGCGGGGCCAAGATCAAAGGTGGTCGGACCAGCGCCAAGACAGACACCATCATCCACATGGTGATGGGGTTGAGGGCTCCAAATAACGGTCCGTTCACAGCGCTCCAGCAGCCTAGCCCCGATTTGCTTCCTACCACTTCCCCATCCAGCAGTAGCTCAGCGCGACATCTTCCAGCCGCACAACAGCATTTAAGAATTGAGGCGCGTCAGCGAATTTCTGTCTTATAAATTGTAAAAACTGCGCTCTTGTGTGCTCATCTGGCCTAGTTGGCAGGAGGGGGTTGGCGGGGACCGCTCAGCGGCAAATGCGCATTGCCCGTACGTACTGCATTACTCTTGACTGCACGTTTGGAATCCCTTGCCCAGCACAACCGATCTATTCTTCAGGACTCATGCAGTGAAGCCATCCGCACAGCCAAGCCAGCGACTCTTCTCACCAAGGAAATTTAACATTTTCCTTGCCTATCGTAAAGTCCACATGCTTACTTATATATCGCAATAACAAAAGGCTTGCTGCGTCCGCCAAAAAACCTCCTACACAGCAAGACCCATTTTATTTATTATATCATCTCCTTCCCCTCCTAATCCGTCGGGGGAAAGCCAAGGGCTGTGCATAATATGTAGTTCATGAGCCGCCTTCATCAACTCCGCAGGCTTCCAACCCGCCGCAGGAGCAGGGGAGTACATCCACAGCATTAGCACATGCACCGGCCCAGCACCACACGACAGGAACGTAGCCACCAGCATTACCACTGCTAGAAACCGGGATCCTTGCAGGTCGCATCGCCCAACCCAAGATCTTTCGCTCTCCTTCGTTGGTGGGGCATGGCTACACATGGCCGTGGGCGTGGACGCGAGCCGCACGCAGGAAGTTGCAGCGAGAGCGCCTTCTCGCCCCCACAGACTCTATCTCCAACCAACAGATAAACATACAAATACATTTCCTTAACACGCCACCCCTGATTACGCCATACCCTTACCGTACTGTTACCCCCCCTAACGGATAATCAAAACATGAACCAAATTGGGGCCCCCGCCCGCATCGACCGCAGCAGGCTAGCAGAAAAGCGGCCTTTCGCTTGTTTCCAGTGATAAAGCACATCATCATTCCACCCCCATGGGTCATCTATTTTCTCATGCAATTCCTTTCATTAACGTGCATCTCCTCAATGACGTGCATCTCGCGCACTTTTCGAGACTGGCCCTACCTCATCACGCCAAGTAACGTCAACGCGCGCCTATACCTCCACCTATCAGTTCAGTTCCCTCCTGGTGGTGGTGCTGGTGGCAGCAGCCCCTGCTGTTGTGCAGCTCCGGAACCTAAACAAGCTCGGTTCCCTTTCGCTCTCACATGCCAGCAGCAGGCACAGCGGCACAGCGGCCCCAGCCTCCCGAACGCAAGTTCGCATGCGACATATAAACCATGGGCATATGTACATACATACATACATACATACATACATACATACATACATACATACATACATACATACATACATACATACATACATACATACATACATACATACATACATACATACATACATACATACATACATACATACATACATACATACATACATACATACATACATACAGGCTTGTTCGCCCTGCGTTGCCGCAGGGTCTTCCCGTTTGAGTACTTTTCTAGTTAGACCCAGTGCTGTGGAAGGGCGCGCACTTGTGCGGTGTTATCCCCCCGACGGGGGCTATCTCCCCTGGACTAGCCCAGGGAGGGAGAGGCGGAGGAGGGTAGTAGTCTCAGGAGGCTGTTTGGCGTCTTGTGGTGTGAGCTCTTTGCGCTCTTTTTATTGCGTGAGGATTTTTGAGCTTGGTGACCTCCCCAGCCCGGGATGACGCGTCGGGCTCCCGGTCGCCCAGGTCCTGGTTGCGAGCTCTCTGAGATGCTCGGTTCGTTCGGTCGGCAGGAAGAGTCCCCCAGTTGCGACTTCGTTTATGTTAGGAGACCAACGGGCATAGATCCCGTCTAGTTGGAGCGCCAAACAAGCGCTGTTGCGTGCCGGCCGTCGTTTCCCGTGCGGCCTGACCCGGGGGCGGAGTGCATGAGACTAACCAGCCGTATGCACCCGCCCCCCGCGCTGTGCTTCGGCCCTGGGCCCCCGGCTTTTCAGCCCACAGTGTAATCAACGTCATACATACATACATACATACATACATACATACATACATACATACATACATACATACATACATACATACATACATACATACATACATACATACATACATACATACATACATACATACATACATACATACATACATACATACATACATACATACATATACACACGCGGGCACACCCGGCTGGATCCTCTGTAACGCTTTTCAATGTTCGCGATCATTCATTCAATCATACACGCGCACCTGTACACCACTCGTTGACACGTGTACAGGTGGCCCATTCAGTTTATTTAAACGCACAGATGAACAACCTGCCGTAATAGGAATGGCCCACCATGATCATGACATATAATGGCGTGTTTGGGTTTTGCGGTCCGCAGGACGGGTGAGCTTATAGCTCATCAGACAGATCCGCTGCAACGCTATTCATTCGTGTACGAATCCATGTACGGGTCCTGCAGCTGACCCTTTTGAGCTTCGGTGCTTCATGGATTTATAAGAGTGGCGTTCATGCGCATCGCTAAGTGGCGGCTGGCACCTCCTGGGTGGGGCAGGGGAGCCTAGATCCGGCAGCCGGTTTGCCGGTGGGAATTCCCACTCACCCCGCGACGTGCCTCATGGCTGCATGATTTGCCACACCCTGGTATCGCTATCTGCTGCTGCCTATCTGCTGTGCCCACGCACGTGCGTCGGCACGTACCTACCTGCCTGCTGCCCGGCTAGCTGTCCTTCCCTGCTAACTGTATGTTCCTCCGTCGTCCAGGCTGGACGACGAGTTATTACCCTGCCTGTCTGCCAGTCTTGTGTTTGGCTCTCTGCTTATTGTGGTTCTTAACTCTCAAAGCTAATAGCTGCGTTCAGACGAGTACACTGCGACCACACCAACACTAACACGAGCTGCACTATGTAAACTATAGAACTCCATTATGACCACGACCACTGCAACAACAACAACGCATCTCGGCTTTTGTGGTGTGTCGTCTCAGGCCCGTGTTCCTCCGTGTATCTCTTGCCTTGCAGGCTGTGTGGGTGTCCTTGACTAGGAGAGTCTGCTGAGGGGCCGTGCCTGACGTGGGTCGGTCTTCCCTTGCCTCGGTTTTTGAGTGTGTAGTGGAGCCCCCTGAGTAGAGCCCCTGCCCGGTGATGTTCTCTGTTTGTTCTTGTTTTGGCGGTCAAGCGGGACGAGAGCGCGCGAATAGGCTGGCCAGGCGAAGTGGGGGCAGATAGCCTGTTTAGGTTTCCCAGAGGTGGTGTGGCGCCTCTCGTGCGGCTCTCGCTTAGTTCGGTTCGCAGTCTTCTGCGCCGCTGTGATGCCTAGCCAGGGGCTGGGAGAGGGCCCCGGCTGGCGTGAGTGAGGGAATGAGGCGCGCGCGGAGGAACAGACGGACGTAGAGCCGCGCGCCCGTCCCTGCGCTGTGTTTCGGCCCCCGGTCAGGGCCCCCGGTGCTTGTCCCTTCTCGGGGCGAGCCGCCCACAGTGTAACGCTCCATCAACAATAACAGCAGCAAACTGACTGTCAAAGGAGTCACCTGGCGTGGCTCTTAGGAGGTCATCCTACGGTGCAGCGGCTTGTGGTCGCAGTAGGTACGTCAGCAAGCGACCCTTGCCCTTAGCCTGCGGTTGGAAACAGCACAGTTGGAGGTAGGGAATGGAGACAACTTGATGATTCGAAAAGGGAATTCAAACAAGGGAGATAAACACGGCACAAATAAGATGGGAGGCAGAGAGAAAGAAGGACAGAGGAAAGGGAGTCTTGCCCGCAGGAAAAAAAAGGATCCTGGTGAAAGCTATCTCAAATTTTCTTACTCCTATCCCGGGCGCTCATACTTCCCTTCCCCCCAGGCAGGTAGCATCCAAGCGCTATTACTGAAGAAACCCCCAGAACCCTAAACCCATCTTCCGTTCGCCGCATCAGCCTCCCGGGTTGTCCACACCTCACCTCGACACCCCCCGTGGGCTCCCAGCACTCATCCGGCGTGAGGTCGCGTGTGGCCTTGCTGACGTGTATTGCCCCCGGCACCCCCGTACTCTCCATGCGGGAGGCCGTGTTGATGGTGTCGCCAAACAGACAGAACCTCGGCATGCGGGTGCCCACCACTCCGCTCATGGCGGGGCCGCTGTGGATACCCACACGCAACCGCACAGGCTCACCGCTGGTGGGAAGACGTACGGCACTGGCGGCGCGAAGGAGAGCCTGGACAGGTAGGGGGTTGTTTGGGGATGACTGCAAGTTGGTTGGGTTGGTTAGGACGGTGTACGGGCAGGGGGGCAGGCAAGACGGAGCGGGTGGAGGAGCAGCAGAGGGAGTGAGGAGAACGGAGGGCCGGGTTCAGGGGGGACAAGCGAACGCGAGTTGACTTAGCGGAACGCCAAGCTGCTTTCTTGTCTTATCATACCTTTGCAAATTGTACGGTGCGATGTGCGTGTTGCGGATCCACATCCTCCGACCGCACCGTCACTGCACCCGTCTCCACGTCCACCTTCATAAGGCCCCCCGCCGCCACGTAGCAATCGCCAATGGTTTCCACCTTGTACACTCCGAACGCATCCAGCATGGCGTCCAGGCGCGTGTAGAGGTCGTTGAGGAAGGACATGACGGTGGCGGGCTTCACGGAGTTGCACATGGTGGTGAAACCCTAGGGGGCGGGAGACCAAGGGGGGGAGAGGGGGTGTCCGATGAGCGGGGCGGAAGAACCCGGCTTCGAGGTAGCAGCTGAGGACGACCAGAGCCAGCACACTGTGGCACAAACCCTCACAAGCAGGCAAACACGCACACGCTCATACACACACGCTTCTCCCCCTCCGTTACCCCTCCGTCCCCCCCAGCCACCTGGATATCGCAAAACAGTACGGTGAGGGCGCTGTGGGAGGTGGCCAGGTGCAGAAACGTGTCGCCCGTGATGGGCACCGCCGCCGGGCTTCTAACGGCCGTAGGGAGTGTGCGTGTGCTGGTGCGGCCAAAGCCGCTGTGATTGCCAGCGGCGGCCTGGGCATGGCCGCTGATTGCATTTGCGGGCGCCTCCACCGGCCCCGCCGGCGGCAGGCCCCCGCCGGCGGCGGGGAGGGGATTGTCGTCTCCAGGGAGGGCTGAGGTCGCGGCCATGACGGCGATGTGCTCCAGAACTGAATGGCGCAAAAAGAGGTTTGTTACATACCAAGAGTCAATCCGTTAGTTTGCTAGGAGTTGGTTAGGGGCTAGGCAGTCGCCTAGGAGGCCGGACGAAGGAACCGAGGCCAACCCTCACCCCCCACCCAGGTGCTCGTGGATCTGGAGGTCTGCTAGTCACGCAGCATCGGGACCCGCGGGAGATGCCCCACGATGGAGAGAGGCGCCCCATTCGGGTGTGTGCACCTTCACCTTTGAAAACATCCAGTTCCTGCTGACCCACCTACCCACCATGTTGCGGAAATATGGACTCCAGCAGCAGGTGCTCCGCCTCCATCACCCGGACGAGGTGTTTCTCCGCCCACACCCTGCTGGACACGTCGTGCTGTCCGTCGAGGAGGGGGCAGAGGAGGGGACAGAGGAGGGGGCAGAGGAGGGGGCAGAGGAGGGGGCAGAGGAGGGGGCAGAGGATTGTGGTTTGGCGGGAAGGTTTCGGGTGGGAGGGAAAGGAACGGGGGCCGCCGACAGGTAAGGGGGATAAGGAAAGACACAAAGAGAGAGAGAGAGAGAGAGAGAGAGAGACAGAGAGATCAACACACACATGCACATGCACATGCACATGCGGGAATACTTCGAGCTCCTTGCTGAACTGCATTACCGGAGGCGGGGCGACTTTCCCTTCCCGGTATCCATATTTGCCAGTGGTGCGCCCAGTTTGCCTGCCGTACACACTCTTTTTCTTAAATCTTCTGATGGAACTGCCCAACGCCCTGATCCGCCACAGAGGAGCAGCCCAAATGCAAAGCCAGGCGAGCGCCTCATACCCGTTATCTGTTGCCAGCCAACCAACCAACGAACCAACGAAGCGACGACCGCAATCCCTGGCAGGATGCTCCCCGACGCTCCCCAGTCACCCGCTGTACCCGGTCCTGCCCTTCCATTACCACCAAACCACAAACCACATTTTACTCGGTTGTTTGTCTTTGCCTCAGTTTAGGGCGGAATGAACCCTGCAGCCCTCCCTCCGCCCCTACACACATACATACATACATGCACGCACGCACGCACTCACGCGCACGCACACACACACAGTTTCCTTACCTGCACCACCAGAAGGAGGATCTCCCCCGTAGCCGGGTGAGGTACGCCGGACAACACAACCTCGAACCAGCGGCCGCCGTCCACATTCACAACACGGGGGTTGCCGCCGGAGCCGATAGCCGGCATCACCGCCGGCTCCGAAACCACACGACCCTTCCCCACCGCCGCCGCCGGGGTTGCTGTAGTGGGCAATGGCGCAGGAACGAGTTCGATGTCGTCTGGAGCCGCATGTGTGCCGCCGCCGGACAGGACGGAAGTGGGCGGGCACGACCGATTGGGAAGGACCTGCTTCCAGTCGCCACACATGCCGTTATAGTTTGAATTTGAATTTAGGATCCCATGGGGTGTAGGATCCTGTGTCGCGTCAGTGCAGCGGCGGCGACACGAGCTAGCGGAGGTGGCCGCCACTGCCATCGCGGCGGCGGTTACACTGACGCCGCCGCCACCGTCATTGCTGATTCCTGGAAGTACGGCAGACCCGAAGGGCCGGCTTTGGAGCCCGGGGGTGCTGCCGCCGCGGCCCCAGTACGGGGATGGAGGCGGCTCTGCGCCGGCGCAGCTGACGGAGCCGTGGCGAGATTGCTCCAGGGAGCCTATTCCCGCTGCCGCCGCCGCACTACCGTGCTCGCACGTCGTCATGCCGCCGTACATTGGTACTAACACCCCAGCCCGTACGGAGTGATCGGCAATGCAAAGGCTGGAGCCGCCGGGGCTGCCCAAGGTGCCGTACCGTGATGTATGCGGCTCGCCGTACGTCGCCGTACATGGCGATTGCTGCATCGCCGCTAGCGAACCAACGGCCCGTGCCATGGACCTCATGGTGAGCTGTACGATGCGTGGTACGGCAAGACCCGACGTCGGACTGGCGGGGCCGGGCGGGGCCTTGAGGCCGCTGTTGAGTCCCCCGTTCGACGCGGCAGCGGCAACGGTAGAGCCGCCGCCGTCATCATATTCTGACAGAGGCGCCATCTCGTACGGGCCGTACGCGACCCGTTCCCGAGGAGACTGGCAGCTGTCGGCGGCGCACCTGCTCGCCGGGCTGCGGAGGCGGTGCGTGCTGACGTCGCAGTCAGCCATGCTCGCAGCCACACCAGCTGTTGCTGCTCCTGCTGCCGCCGCCGCTGCATAAATATCCATGTTGCCGCGTCCATTGCTTGGGCTCAGGGCGGGTGCGTGGGATTGGCTGGGGCTCCGCGGCGCAGTCCCGTCCATGCGCTTGTGACTGGATGAGAGGCCTTTCAGATCATTCGCCGGGGAGGTGGTGCGCGAGCTAGGTGGAGCCTGCGGTGATCCCGCCTGACTAAGAATTCGTCGACCGCGAAGACTGAGCTGGCCATCAGGGCTGGTGCTCATGCCGAACACTGGATCACCGTCGCCGCCGCCGCCGCCGCCGCTTCCGTTTGACGGCGGCAGTACGCTGCCGCCGCCGCCGTGGATGACGTTGGCGGGGACGCTTCTGCACGCCGCAGGGCCGCTGCCACCGCAGCCGCCGACAGAGGCATTGGCAGAGGCGTACGCGCCGCTGAAGCCTAACAGGCCTTGGGACGCGGCGGCCTTTGCGAGCTCGCCCGCGGGATCCCTCGGGAAGGCTCCCGTTGAAGTTCCACTGGTCCCGGTAGCTCGGTACATGGGGAAATGCACGCTGCGAGATCCCTGCTGCACTCCAATGGAGTTGTGTGACGTACACGACTCAGAAGGCGTGTACGACTGTAGGCCGCCATGCAGACCGCACACATCTTCTGCCTGCAGACCCGGTGACGGCCGGCCGCGGCCGCCGCCGACATTGCCGTACGCTCCGCCGCACCGTACCGACCTGTTCTCCATGTAGGCAGTGCTGCGACGTGCTGCGCCGCCGTATGAGCGCTCGGCGGCGGCGGCGGCGCCGCCGCCGCCAGGAGCGCCTCCTGCGCACGATGCTCGGTTGCGACCGCGAGGACCGACCATCGTTCCCCAAGTGCTCGTTGAAAGAGCCTGCCACAATTGCTCTTGGTGACTATGCATAAGAAGCATCCCGTCACAGGTCTGTGACCACTGGCTGCCGCCGCACTCCGCCGTCGTGAAGACGACTGGTGGCGGGGCTGGCGACGATGTGGGCGGGCGCTGCTGCGGCTGCTGCAGGTGTGGTTGCGACGGCGACCGGGGCTGCGTCACGGGAAAGGGCACGGACTGCCGTTGGGGGTGATTTGCCCAGGAAAGCGGCGGTAGCGCTGGGCAGCCTTCAGAACCCGGCCGGCGCGATCGTGTGGCGTCGTCGCCGTCGGATGCTAACATTGCGGCGGCGGCCGCGGCAACGGGGCGAGTTGGTGCTGTGATTGCGCTGGCAGCGGGGGCGGGAAGCGCTCTGTTGACCACCTTTTCCGCTGCCGTCGCCGCCATCGCCGCTGCTGCTGCTGCTGCTGCTGGCGGCGATCCAGCGGCGCCGCCGCCGCTGTCTTGTCTGTGCCTGCACGCCAATGCGGTCGACAGCAGCGACGCGCCGGCTGCGGATTGCGGGGTGAGTGCCGGGGGCCCGTCACAACACACGCGATTGATGCTGTCACGTCTCTGTGCATGCTCCTCCTTTTCTGTACGAACCGTAGGCTTGGCGGCCGCCATCGCAACCGCTGCCGCCGCCGCAGCTGGTGTCAGCCGATGATGCTCGTGCAGACTGCCGCCGCAGCTGGCGCCGCCGCTCCTATAGGCCCCCGCTGAGCAGGTGACGCTACGGCCTGATGGCCCGGAGTTGTTCCGAGCTGCGACCTGAACCGGCGACAAGTCGCCGCCGCCGCCGTCACCGCCAACGCCAACGCCGCCGCTGCCGCCGCACCAGGAAGCGTGCCGAGCGGAGCGAAGCCAAGCCCATCGACCACTGCCGCCTGCTAGATGGAAGGCGCGGCGGAGCTGAAGCTGCAATTCCGATTGCTGTTGTTGGCTTAAATGGGAATGCGGGCTGTGCAGGCAGTAGGGGCTGGAGCTGCCGTGGTGCGTCCCATGGGTCGCTACTCCGGAACCTGGACAGCAGACCTCACGCGCACAGCTGCTGCGTGATCTGGGGAGATTCTCCATTACGCCATCGCCGCCGCTGCCGGCTGTGCCGCGGCACGGAGCCATCCTGGAGAGTCCGGACGGGGCCAACCGCGCGTCACCATGCCCGCTAGTATCCACCATCAATCCAGCCGCAGCTGCACCGCGACCAGAGGTGGCGCATGTCGTACGGCTGGCGTCTCCACCGCCGCCGCAGCAGACTTCCGCGGCCACCGCTGCCACTTCCTCCTGTCCGGCGTGGACGCTGTGGCGCTGCTGCAGTCGCTGCTGGTACGGCTTCGTAGGCCCCAGAGGAACCTGCGGCGGCGGGACCGGCGGCCGCCCCGAAAGCAAGTCGTCAACGCTGCCGCCACCACCGCCACCGCTGTCGCCGCCGCTAGCGGGCAGCTTGCAACAACGCAAAGCGGTGACCGCGCTACAATGCTTCGGAACCGGCGGCATCCGTACGGCGGACGCTGATGAGGACGAAGGCAGCGCAGTAATCACTGCTGCGGCGGCCGCTTGGCGTGTGGATGGCCCAGAGATACAGTCTTTACTCGGCATCAGTGTGCGGCAGCAGACGTCCAGCGACCTGGACCCACGGGTCGGTGCTGTGGCGCCGTCATTGCGTAGTACCCGGTCAGGCAGGGCAGCAACAGAAGCAGCAGCAGCCTGGCCGTTGGAAGCGCAGCGGCCAGGCTGTACGGTGGCAGCGCCACCCGCCGCCGCGGTCGTCAGCCCTACCCAGGAGTGAAACACGTCGCCGCCGTTGCCGTCGCCGCCTCCATGTTTGTCATGGTCGTTGCGTGCACCTGCGGCCCCGCGGGCCCCGATAACTCTGGCTGAGCCGCCGGTTTCGGCGCCGGCGCCGCTAGCACCGCCGGGCGCGGACTGCTCCAAGGAGGATTCTCGCCTACCCAGCACCTGCGGCCGCTGCCACAAGGGCAGGGCGGGCCCCCAGGAGGTTGACGGTAGGGTTTGGTGCTCCATGCCTTGGCAGCTGCTGTCCTCCAGGCGGCCACTCGGGCAGCCATTGGCGCCCTCGTTCTCGCTGACAGGCCCGCCGAAGTCGTTGGCGGTTGGCGGTTGTACAGCGCTGATGTTTGGCGCGTGGTTCGACCTTTGATGGCCCTCGCGTCCGTGCAGGCTACCTAGAAGGACGTCCAGAAGCAGCTCACTCCTCCGCTCTGCAGGGCAGAACGAGCTGCCGCCAGCGCCACCCGCTGAAGCTGCGGCAGCAGCGGCGGCGGCGGCGGCAGCGGCAACAGCTGCGCCGCCGGTGGTTTCCAAGCTGCCTAGGATGGCTTCAGTGCAGGGCGAGGAGCACAATGACGGCTGTGCAAGCGGTATAGACGGTGCCGTGATCTGGGCGACGGCGAGGCCCCGCATGCCATCTTCGTAGTCGGCATAGCCGTCGGCGCCATCGGCAGGGGGATAACATGCCCCATGGCTCGGATACAGGCTGGATGGCCCGTACTGGGAGTAAGTTAGGTTGTTGCATGGAGCGCCGCGGCCGCTGCCGCCGTCACCAGGGCCGCCGGCATCGGCGGCCGCATTGCAAGGGCTAAAGGTCAGCTGTGGCAGCTGGGGAACGTGCAGCAGCCCTGGTGGGTTTGGGAGGTGGGGTGCAAGGAGCTGGGGTTGGTCCGGAGGAGGGAAAGCCTAAAACGCGAAGTAAAGCAACTTTTAGGCGTGTTGGTTATTGGTTGTTGGTTGCCTGTGTTGCCCGTGAAGGAAAGGAAAGTCTGTATGGAGCAACAAGGGCCTGGCAATGGGCACAAGACGCACCACCAATTGCGCGGAAAACCCTTCGGTAATCCTGAAGCACAAGCGGTACAAGGGCAGAAGTGTTGAGGGAAAGCTGCGAGAGGATCACGCTACCGTAGTAAGGAACCTATTTAGCGGGGAGGGGTAGCCAGATCAGGAAATAACCGGGTACGGGTGCATTAGAAACCGATCTACCGATGATTCCTTAAAGCTCGTTGGAACGAGTAAGGGTTTACCCAGCCGGAGGCCGTGCACTTCAACGTGCAACTTCCTCACCTCTCCACGTGCGGCCCTCCTGCACCGCCGCCATGGCGTCCTGCAAGGCATCGAGGTCTGTCGCGAAGAGGAGCTGTAGGGAAGCGGATGGAAAGCCATCCGCTGTCGTAAAACCAAGAGTGGTCCGTCGCATGTGATCAAAAAGCTCAACGCTTGCAGGGTTGTTGGCGAGCAAGGTTCCTGCTTGTGAAAATAGAGCGACCTGGGGTGGAGCATCGCCGGTGGCCGTGGCAGGGAGCAGGAGTAGAATTTTTGCAGTAGTTAGAGAAGAAAATTAATTTCTTTTGAAATAACAAGTGATGCTTTCTAAATGTAACTCGACGGAGGTATGTGTTTGTTTTAGGAGGCTCGCGCAGCGTAACACGTGAACAGCTCAACCACGTTACCGGTGGGTTTAAGCGAAAGTCATTAGCTTTTAGGTTATGACGAGCTATTTATTGTATGTGTATCGATATCGATAAATATTGTGTTTGGGTCTCCCTTTGCAGAGAGTGAATGGTGTCTCAGACAGAGGCAGCCCACGTGTCTATACCTGGTTCTGTAGGCTTACAGTAAAAAAATATCATTAGGCTTACCGGATCCGATATGTGTTGCAGCATGAGCGAGAAGTAGGCGTGGACAGGAGCGTCCCTGTCGACAACGGCTGCTGCAGGCTTTTCTCCCTGCCGATCATCTTTATGTCTTCTATTGCCACGAGTGATAGTCTCTGTAATTTTAAAACAACAAAACAGTCGCTGCAAAGTAGCTGCCATACTTCGGGTGCAGTGCTGCTGCCGCTGCCTTATGCAGCCCTGTGCGGGAAGGTTCGTAGAAACAAGTTTGAGCAATCTTTTCTAACTATATTAACATCTTAGGCATTGCGGCATTTCCAATAACAAGGGGCTCTACCTGTCCAGTTTAATTCGTTCATACAAGCAAATGATAGCGGTCCTTACTACCTTGGGGGAATTCTGTAAACTGGCAAGAAACCAGACAAAGGGAGCAGCTTGTCGCACTGCAGCAGTACTAACGGTGTTGATGTAACCTGCGCAATGGTAGGGCGTATGAGCCGAAAGATGGTCGATATTATGAATAACGGTGCAATGGTCACAGTGACGTGTAAAGCCTTACAAAGGCGGGAGAGTATTTCGTCGCCTGTGCGTCGCATATCAAATTTGTTTTACCGTTATCAACCAGACAAAGCAAGACGGCTCAGTCGTTTGTACGTTTGATTGCTTTCAGCTGGTTCTTATCCTTTTTGGCGATAGCTCCCCCCACGGCTATGATTGTGTAACAAACCCTGGTTGTATCTTACGCTGCGAGCAGCCTTTCATCAGACAGCATATATAAACATTCAGCAGCAGGTTTACAATAACAAGTTTGTCCCGAGTCTCGGGGAGGACATGATTTCTTTCGACAACCCTAAACCTCTACAGTACGGTACTTTCAATTAGCTTCGTCCAACAGTTTCGTAGTCACACTTTTGTTTTTTTTAAAATACTTGAATTAAAGGCAGGCGACACGGGTCACTTCCATCCATATGACTTCGGCTGCTGTAGCCGTTATGGGAAAAGGGTATCCCGAGGTACACTATCCTGACGCCCTGAGCACCTAGCGAGCCTTGGTTCCCTGGTGTCGCGGTTGCCCAAATTTGGGATCATGTGTCAAGATAATCAAAAAACATGCATTTCTTGCGAACACCGAGGGCATCAAGGGCATGGAAAGATAAAGCAGTCGAAGCTTCCCAGCTATATTACCGATCTCTACCCATGCATAACTTGAAAACATACTGCGACGGCCTTGACATGCTATGCCGCAAAGGCAATACATTTTACTCAACCTGACGTTGAACGGCAGACCGCTTAACAATATGAAGTAACTGAATCAATAAGCTTTGGTGCCAGCGGATCAAGGTACCATCGTCTTCGAGTTCAATTCCACAGGTTTGCCAAACTGGGGCAGGCGGGAGCCCCAAACAAGGCCCTCCACGGTGATCTGCTTGGCCACCCTCAGGATTAGCAAACGATCCTGCTGCGATGCATGGAGCACCAAGGAGCCGCTGTCACCGTAAGCGGCGTCGCCTTCCAAACGCCCACCACAAGTTCGGTGTCCTGTGGAAACGCCCACCATCATTGCTTCTCTGTCGGCTAATCCGCTCTCACTTAAAATCCTTCTTTTTGCAGCTGCTTCTTCTGCTTTCAACACTCCATCCATTACCAGCAGGCCCCCAACGGCTCCGTGCGCCATTGCTGCATTGCCGTCAAAATTTCTAGACACATGCAATGTGTGGAGCAGGAAAAACAGGACCTCCCGAATAAGAAGCTGCCAGAGCGCCCCGTTCCAAGCCAAACCTTCCAAAGATCTGGCCCCTGGGCCGTACGTGGGGCCTTGGTGGCATGTGTGTGTGTGTGTGTGTGTGTGTGTGTGTGTGTGTGTGTGTGTGTGTGTGTGTGTGTGTGTGTGTGTGTGTGTGAGTGTGTGTGTGTGTGTTACATGGTTGGGGGTGCGTGACCCCATACCTGTAAGACTACCCATACGAGCCGAAGGCCCAAGGGCAATACTACAACGCCTAAAAGCTACGGAGGAAAGGAAAACACCGCACATCAGCCCAGGCTAGCGTCCAAAGGGGGTAATTGAGTTTCGGTGAGCCCACATACGTTCCAACATCCTCGCCAGACGTGCGGGTTCCCATTGCATGGCCTCCAACATGCTCTGTTGATGATCGAATCCCTCTTCAGCACGAATATCATTATAGGCTGGGCATTCCAATAACACGTGTTTTCATCCTCGATTCGGCTATTAGGACCACAACAGCGGCAAAACCGCTGCCCCCTGGGACATGGTACTTGCCTCTTCGTGCTCTGTTTGCCTCCAGAGCCCAGCGACATAAACAAAACTGCATTAGCTTACGATGTGCTAAACGAGGAATGAAATCCTTAGCATATGTTGGCCACATGACGGCTGCGGCTCCCGAAAAGGGCAGCCCCATCCAGTGCTTATACTTCGCCATTTGCACTCCCGGTTGCTTCCCATCTGATGGGTACTCCTCTGGCAAGTCAGACGCGTATGGTGGCATGTGGCCGAATGCAGTGTTTGGATGCGGACAGCACCGGCTATCCGGTCGAATCTACATAGACGCCACTGCTTCAACCAGTGTACGAACCCTACTTATCGGGCATCCCATTGTACGAAAACAAAACCTGGCCTGAGGTTCCCATCCCTGCAATCATCCTCAATAATCTGTTGCAGCACCGTGCCTGGCATGCATATTTACATATCCAAGGATCAATACTCCAAAACGCGCGGGGCTAATGACACGCTCACCACTCCGACAAGACCCGTCATGCCTGAGGCTCGCCGACATCCCCTAGTCCTAGTCCTGGGGCCAATAATCATGACACGCCCACCAAGCTATCCCGCACTCTCACGCCTTGACTCTCAAGAGGCTCTTCGTCATCCAGGAACCCGCCTTGCGCCCCAACTCCTTTCGCACCATCGTAAAGTCGTACAGCCCGGACAGACCCGTGGGCCCAATAACGCTCACACGCAAAACGAACGTGCCTGGCTCCGGCTCTTGCACCTGCATGACCTCGTAGGATTGGTGGTTGACCAGGTCGCCCAATAGGTTGCCAAACATGCCCAGGTAGTGGTCGAAATGGTAGAGATCCTTGGAGAAGCCAAAGTACCGGGACCGCTCCATGCCGCCCGCGTCCGCCGCGAACTCATAGGCGGTCTGGATGCCATGGTTCAGCCTGAGTGATGAGGAGAGGCGGATAAGCACAGCAAGGGCAGGCGGGAGCGAGCGAAAGGGACCCATTGCATTACTACAATCGCTACCCATCATCGTCGTGACCACGACCAGGTCAAACCACAGGCAGTCAGTCAACCTCACCATTGCCCCTCTTCCGTACCGGGACCACGGCCAACCTCACCGCCGCAATCATTACAGTGGGGCAGTCTGGCTTTAAAAAATTTACCGCCCGAATGAGGTTTAATGAGGTTCGCAGGTCCATAGCTAAGCATGCAGACCTTTAAACGCTGGACTGCGTAACATGCTGCTCGGAAGGGTGGGTGCGTTATTTGCGCCCATCTCTTATAAAGTTGCGGCATGCACAGTTCACGTGCACGTGTGTGTGTGTGTGCACGTATTACGTGTATGTGCAATCCAGGACTTTGTGTGAGGATCCAGGTCTTCGCGTCACATGTATCAATGGCTCCAACAGGCCATGTGGGAGTGTAGCATTTGGTGCATGTCGCGTGTGCCAGCGTGTGCACGAGTGCGAAAGTCCCCATGCGTAGTAATCTCCTTGCATCGGGGTCCGTCTTTTAACCGCACCCTCAGGAAAGAGACATCAGCCAAAGCCGCTTGCGCCCCATGCGTATCGCCGTCCTGTTGTTATGCCTATAATTTCGGCTCGGCGACGTTTTTACCAATAAAGCCATGCGTTGTGAGGTGCCGACCAGGGAACCGACCAGGGGTCATCGTTGGCCCGCAATGCCTTCAGCTGCACCTGGAAAGGAGAATCCGGGCATGGCACCAGTAAGCCAGAGCATTAGCGAAGGTCCTAGTGTAATGGCAATGCTATGTTCCCAACGGCTCACCTCGACTGATTCACGCGGCGAGAACGCGGGTGAAGGCATAACCTGCGCCGTGCGGGAGGAGGGGACCTGAATGTTTAGCTGTGCGAAGGAGCGTGCCATTACCCCTGGGACGGGATATGAAACAGAATGCCCCAGGAGCAGCACTATCAAGCGTGTTTGAGACGCATGGGGTTGCGAAACATGGGTTTGTGCTTAATGACTGGAGCAGGATAACCCTGGTCTCGTGTACGTAAACCGACAATCAGGAGCAGCGTGAGACAGACACGCAATGTATGAAATGACAATACTATCTATGTTGTATACTTACTATTGGATCTGGAGTGTTCTGTGGGTTCCAGACCGGCGCTGCAGCTGGTGCATGCTTGCTGCGCCTGCGTTGGTTGGAGATGCACCGCCAAGTAGATCTCTGCAGTATCATGGAGGACATAATCACGCCAATAACCTAAGTATGTGTGTATTTGTAGCTCGTATTTCGCAAAGCTGCCGAGGCTTGGAACCATTAACAGAGGCAACCGCGCCGTACTCTAAAAAGAAATGCTTTGTGGTTTAGGGAGAGCATCCAAAAGTTATTGAAGTCTCATCCAAACCAACGCTGAAATTATCATCATATCAAACCGTGGGCTAGGAGCGCGCCTCCAAGCATTTGCACATGATCGACTTTCTCCCGACTTGTTTGGGCAGATGAAAACTAAGCAGGGGCTCTGATTTCCTTCAACTCAGTGATTAAAGCTCTGTTACATCCATGGCAACACCGGCTGCAGGAGGCACCCTGCCCACTCCGGAGGAACAATCTCCTCCAGCTCCTTCGCACAATGTAGCAGTATTTTTCCATGGTTTCTTCAAGGTCCGTACCAATGCGTTGCGCTAGGCTTATAACGAGCGACCAAACCGTGCAGCTCGTATACAGGTGGTGTCAATCGTCTGGTATTGGATCTGTACTATTGTCAGTGACTCTTTTGTGGTCAACTTCGTTGTATGCATCGTCCTGTTGGCTCTTGATTTCTGGACGGTGAGTACCGGCTGTACCCTTTGACCACGGCCTGTCGTGCCGTGCATGAAGTGGTGCTCGTTTCTGTGCGTAGACAAAAAACATTACCGGACGCCTCCTTGTGGGGTTACGATGGTGGAATGAGGCAAACGACACAGGATCGGCTTGGCGGTTCGAAACGCTGCCTGAGGTAAGTGACGCATTCGTTGGGTATGACTGGGCAAGTGCTGGACAAGGCGTGGGACTGACAAGTCGCGGGAATGCAACTGTGTGCTTGTAATTTGAACGGGTTGCGGTGGGGTGGGATACGGAGAGCAATGAAGTGCAACACTTCTCTCTTCAACCTTCTCCCACTCTTTTTCCCCAGGGGGAGTTAACCAACACGAGCCCTCTTTCGCCCGCAGTCCTATTGTTAAGGCTCCCCTACCCCATCCGCCGTAGAGCATACGTACCGTGTTGGCGCAGGTTACTCGTGGAATTCTTTTCGCCCGGGCTATAAGCGTACGTACCGCATGCAATTCCTTCAACCTCCCTCTCGCGCCCCACATCACCCTTGCGATAATCCCGCAGGGCGTTCGGACGATCCTACCACGCGAGAAGCGGTTTTTCTGGTTAGCGATACTGCTAGCGGCGGGGCACTGGATCCTTGCCTGCGTTTTTTGCCTCTTTGGGGCATCCTCTTATATCATTGTGGCCATTATGGGGCTCGTGTTCAACGGTAGCAACCTGTGGGGCTACTTCAAGTGCAGCCGCGAAGCGCAGGCGGATCTCCAAGGCTACATCAACAGCACGTCCAACTCCATCGTGCAGGGAGCCATCAAGCAGAAGCTTAGCCAGGCGGCTAGCCGTGTGTGATGACGAAGTGCGATGAGCGCGTCCTTATGCTGGCTGGCAAAGAGTTGCGCGCATGCAGACAGCTTACATACGTTGACGAGAAGAAGTAGTGAGATGGAAGCAAAAGACGGAGGGGGGAAAGGGAGATTGGATCAAGGAAGAAGTACCCAGGCGCTTCCCAGCCTTATGTGTCCATGCTGACACGGGAATATGCCTAGGGCGTCTTCATAGTAGGTTCAAGTTAGTACTGGAACGCTTGACCGTTGAGGAGGTTGGAAAGAGGCAAACGTTGCGACTACTACAGCGCTCGTACAGTGTACTACACATGGTACTGACTGGGTGTTATTTGCAATACTCTTGTAGCCCGCAGCTACCCATCTCACCCTCATCCACGTCATATACGCAAAAATTGTTTCTATAATCCTTTACCCTTTTTGCCACGCGTTTACAATCCTTTTTACATTCCTTCTTCGGAAATCCATATCTAATCCGCAACCAACAACTCGGCATACTTCCGCACAAACCCTAATCCTATACTTGCCCAGGAAAAGACCACCTCGCGGCGACCACAAAATCCACACCCGCCTAAAACCGGCTGCAGCAATCCCCAAAAAACATATTTGGAGATAAACCGGCAAGAACTTTTCTAGCAGGAGAAATAAGAGGAGGGCTTGTTGGTCACCCCTAGCCGCTCTGGGGTTCCTTTCCCACCGGCGACCCACTTGCCGAGCTGGCGCTGCACGACGACGGCTGGCCGCCACCGTGCACACGAATAGCCGCAGTTTGCGTCAGGTGCGGTTCGCTGCGATCAGCCTTGCCCTGCAGCACGGCACAGGGCGGGAGGTATGTACTGCACATCCCTCTGTATAGAGCTGGCTACCGAGGTTGCACTCCATATTCATCGATATACAGCTGCGTCATCCATGATCAGCGTTCATATACAGAAGGATCTCAGCCAGTTGTTTATCCAAGAGGCTAAAGGGCCATCCCATGCGTTTAAGCCCCGGTTCCTAAAGTTCCCCTTTAGGGGACAAACTAGTCCACCTACACGGTTCACTTAGCCCTATTAAATGGCCCCTGAACCAGGTGAATCTGCCTGGAACATACCTCCCGACAAAACGCCCGAAGCTACAGCCGTGAAAGCAAGACCTCACCTCCACATGTCGCAGCTGAGTCGGGCTGGTGGACTTGATTTCATTTAAAAGATCATCGTGCTTGTTGGACTTGATCTGCGGAGGAGGGTTGTGCGGGGCAAACGGGGCGCGGGACAAACATGTCATGAAATGGTGCATTTTGCAATACAGACAGAAATGCATTGAACCAACAACATGAAGTGTGCCTGTCAGAATGGGGTGAATGCGCCTCGACCACATGGCGGACCCAGGCCCAGGTATGGTGTATGGGTCAGGGTGTTGAGGAAACCTACCCGCGCTGCGAACGTCTCATTCTGCACCCTGCACGGGGATCCTTTGCTGTCCCGCACCCTCCCGTGTCGCTCAAATCTTCCCCGGCAACAACCTTTGCTAACGAACGGCTACGCCATCCAGCCGCTGCCCAAGGGTTGCAGGGGGCTGTAAGGGTACGGGACTCCCCTGAGCGCCTATGGGTGTGTACGCGTGTGCGTGTGTGTGTGTGTGTGTGTGCTTGTTACGGTACGTTGGGGTAATCCTACATGTATCGCGGTAAATCGCAATATGTTGGGGCTGCATGCAGCACTACCACAAACACAGACACCATTGGAGTGGCATTGCACATAAATGTAAAACCTCACACTTACGACAGGAGTTTATTCGCATCGCACCCCTCTCTTTTGGTGGCAGCTTTAACCATTCACGTGCCCACTCAACAAGCACGCTCTTTTTAGTGGACGCAATTTCCCGCCGTAATACTACTTCTACTACTATACTGCTGCGACTACCACTATTACTACTGCTACACTACCACCGCCAATACCTGCAAATCCGGCTCCACTCGGGGACCAGAACGGTCAGCCGCGTTCTCCACGTGCTTTAGTGTGTGCGGCGACTCGATTTCGTGCAGGAAGGCGTCCTTATCCCACTGTATGCGAGTGACCCACGGGTCGTTTGTCCATATTCATTACAGGCAAGCGAACGGCGCAACAGGGACAGCGATGCGGCACAAAGTCAAAAACCCATAAAGAAGAAGCGATGAAATGATGATGCAATAACAAAAACTTCAGAGTCTCCGGGACCTCTTCTCTAGGGCGTTCTTTTTTGCTGACGGGAAAGCCTTTTTCCTGCCGATCTCACGTTGACCCACTCCCAACACACCCGCGCCATCACTCAACACACGTTCCAATACCGCCATGGAATGCGGTTCCATTCTCCATTTCGGCTTGCATGCACGCTTGTGACTACTCAACTGCCCTCTTGACGTGCCCGGAACCAGAACTCGATTGACGGCCCCGACCCAGGCAGCCATGCACAATAGGGGTTCAAATAGCACCTTTAACGGCTGAGGAGCTCGGGAATACAGCTGTGCATCAAACGGTGGCGAAAGCACCTTAGGTCGCATGTGGACCGATTTGCACACATGTACCGGGAATCCTGGATTCAGGTGGATTTCATGCCCATGAACAGTTCGGAAAATATGAACCAACGCGCCCACGGCAGTTAGGGCACGGGATGAGAGGTTTGGTACGCGCAGCTTGGCCGTTTCGCAGTTTGACAGGTGAGCACATCAGACAGTCTTGCCTCCTCTTACCTTGCCAACCTGAGCGCCCTGCACCGCTGGGGCGCTGCGATCGGCGGGAGATTCCACATGTTGGAGCGCCACGCCGCCCGCTTTGAGCTCGCTAATCAACGCGTGGTGGCCGCCGACCGCCTTCACCTCCGCCAGAAAAGATGGGCGATCGTTCGGGTGAACCTGAATCCCTGCCGGTCAGAAATGTACAGCCGCCAGGGGTACAAGACGACCTGAGCTGTGAAGGTTCGTGCCATCGGATGCTTGCAAAGGCGTTATTCTTTAGAAAGACCCCATCTGCGTGACTAGTGCTTTACGCCAGTGAACAAAACTGAGATTCGGAGCAAGTCCGTTGTGTGTCTCACCCTCGACTCGGGGACTGCTGCGGTCTTGGGACTCTTTGACATGCTTCAAGGCGACACCTGCGCGTAGTAACCGGAGAAGCATTGCCTTGGAGATAATCAATATAATAGTTAATATACGTACAATCACGATGTACCTCGAAGCATCTTGCCTAACAAGGAACAGCATCTTGTCTGCAGGGACTATCACCGAAATGCACGGGTCTCGGACCGTCGTGGCACCTTTCAGCGCCCCACCTGTCTCAATCTCCTTCAAGAAGCTGTCTTTGTCCCAGTTATGCACGTGAGTGCCTGCATGAACACAATTCGTGGAATGTTGCGTTCAAGGTTGCTTTTCAGTTAACCCGGAACTCCAAGAGCACCTGTCCACCTGGCTCAATGGCCGGCTGCGAGCGATCAGCCACATCCTCGACGTGTTTTAGCTTTTTATCTGCGCCTTCATGTCGGAGCTCATACAAGACATTGTCGAGCGACATTGCCCAGCAGTCACTGCCAGAGCGCCCTAGTTAATTAGTCTGATATTGTTATGACCGATAATAACTTAATTAGTTAACAGCCGGTGGTGCCTTTTAGCTTGTGAGCTGGATGCGCGTGAGATTGGCTGGGATCATCACATCGCGACGACAACTGTCTTATCGTACAGCGCCCATGCCAACGTAAACAACCACGTCGGACATCATCCAGGACAGCCTTTAGGCCACCTGAAATCTTCCTGCCAAAGGAATTCATGGTAGCAACTGTCCGGTACGGTATGCGCCAGAGAGTGTTTGCCCATCGAACGCTGTTCCTTTCCGTTCTTGTACACGGAACAAACTTCCTAAACCCCGGTACTTACCGCCCTTCATTGCCAACCCTCCTCAGTCCTCATAATTATTAGGACACGAAATTTGTTCCTTCACATATCGTGGAGAAAGCACGCAACAGCACGTGCATGCGGGCAGGCGTTGTCAGGTCGTAAACTTGAGGTTCACGACGCGGCAGTCCCAGGTTGTGGGGGGCCCCACCCGCGGAACGCTAACTCTACAGACCATCTGCCACCAAGAGGCCACCATCCCTTCCGCCCCGGCTGAGGCCCCGGGAGATTTGTTCCACGTGACCTGCCGACGGGCCGTGCAATTCGTCTAGTAATGAATTCAAATGCTGTTGCCATCCTCATCTCCATGGTTGACCGTTTGCGCTTAGTTTCTGACGCATGGCTTTTGACGCATCTCCTCCCACTCCTTTCTCTGCGTCTGAAGGGTGTTCCGACCGATCCTCTACAGCCAGTTGCGGCAAAAAGGGAGTATTCACTCCCATTACACCGATCTGCTGCAGTAATAAAAGATTTATAAATGCACTGCGCTGGTTAACATGTAATGGTGCGATTGCCGCACTGTCGATGTACGATATTCCACGCCTTGTCGTACGCCACTTCCTCCGGCTTCAGTAGTTACTCCAAAGGACATCGAGTCCCAGAACACGCGAGCTCACCTACTCACCCTGTGTGTGTGTGTGTGTGTGTGGATGTGGATGTGTGTTACACCTCGGTTGCGTTATACCCCGAGAGGTGTAACGAGTGCCCATACACGAGCCAGCAGAGGCCCAAGAGCCTAAGAGCTACAAGCTAGGTAAGGGGCACATCTGTGTCAATTTTGCTCTAAAACCTTGCACAGCTGCATGCACAGTCCTAGAAGTCGTGGGAACAGTCGTCCGTAACCGTGCTCAACCCATCTGGGCACGGTGCGTTGGCAAAGCCGGCGAAGCTGTCCAGCGAAAATTGACGCACGCGCCAAGAGGGCGAACGGCGAGCGGAGGAGGGAGGCGGTCGGACGAAAGGCAAAGCAAGGATACGCCAAGGTCTGGAATTCCCGAAAAGATACAGGGAAACGCTTCACCATGGTAAACCTCGCTCGGTGCAATGGAATTGAGCAGGACAGCAGGCACCAGAGCAGAAAGTAGCAGGGTTAATATCAAGTTAGAGAGCGCTTACACGTTATTGAAGCTATTATGCCTTGGTCTGACTTTTTCGGACCGCCACAGTATTGTTCGACCGTCTTGGAAGAGCCGTATCACCTAAACCTTTTCAGTTACAAACCCGATACGGAGCAGCCGGTATACCGGTATACGGTAGCAACCGGTAAATCTGAGGTCATCCCGACATTCACAGGTGCCTTCGCCTTGGTACTCGGAGTACCGTACTCCGCGATCCTAGCTGCCGTACGGAGCGGACTATTGTTGCCGTTCATATAACCGTAACGGAGAAGATTATTACTGAAGCTCAAACCTAACATGCTTGGTTCTATACCAATCGGCTTTGGAAGGAGCTTTAATTCTAATAAATTTTGCCCTTGGTACGTGCGAGCCAAAAGTTCTGGCTTGTTTTGCAAAAGGACTGTCACAGAAATAGCAAGGTAGAACGTTACAGGGAAATACAAGCAGGTGGCGTGCATAGAAACCTTCATACGCTTCTCATCGCGAGAGAAGACAAGAAACTGCCAAAACGCCATCAACCATAATTCATCATGGGATGGGTCGACAATACAAAGCGATGCACATGTGAAACGTGGCAGAATTGTTTGTAATGATCAGGATCGTACAAATGCGTTATCATCGCATGAATTTCAGCCGTGGCATGGCCAACCTTTATTGGACGGTCAGAAGCGGCACAGCTTGCGCGCCACTCGCACTTAATGGCACAACCATGTGTTAATACTTCATAGTATTGGTCGCAAGATGGAGTAGCGAAGGAGATAGCTATGTCTCGAATTCCATACGTACGACGTCGCGCGTAACGGTCACATCACAGTCCGGCACCCTTGGATAAGTCCGCATAACGCACGAAGGGTGATGAGGGGCTCATATGTCTTGTGCAACGAACTCGCACCTGTCAATTGCCATATGCAAACCATGCTGATGAAAATATTTAGACAATATAGTGACCGCTCGACTACAACACTTTCTTGCATTAGGTAAGCAGCGACAGCATCAATAACTGCAATAAGTTCATCATTTATTGAGACTGGACCAGGCTAGCTGCGAAAGGCTGCTGCGGCAGTAGCTAGAGCTATGGACAGCAAAAACAAAGGCCTCCGAAGGGACCTAGCAAAATTCTTCGGGTCTGTGCGCAACTCGGATTGCACCATCATCTTCTGTCGCGATGAAAACGCTCCAAAGCGGCCGCGCCGTGAACTAAGCTATGAATCCACGGCTGCTGGGCCGTCCGAGGAACTCGCTGAAGAGATTTTCGGCAACCCAATTCCTGCTCACTGCATGGTCCTGCGCCTTGCGTCAGAACGATTCGCGGCGAAGGTATGCTAGCGCGTTAGGACTCCAGGTGCTCCTGGGCCATGTAAACCTGAGGAAGACTTTACTTAGGGTTGGCGACCGCTACGAACTGAAAACAAAAGTGTACGCAAACGCAATTGTCCAACACTATCACAGCAAACATTACATCCTTAATACGTCGCGGGTAACGCATGCTGATTGTTGCTTTTGCCTCCATCGATGAGGTGTATGATGGCAACGCACGGTGGCTCTAGGTTAAATGACACTAAATGATATCGTCCACTGCGCATCTGCGCACCTTTACACCTTTTTATTCGCGTTACCCTCCAGCCATCTAATCAACATTCAAACCCATGCGTGCAGCTGGAGCAGTGGCGTGAGGGCACCACTGTTCCTTCCGTCAGCTCCGATTCCCCTGCACAAGATTCAGTGCCGTCACCACCAGCAGACGCCCGGCCGCAGCTACGAATCCCACTGGCCAGTCCGGACGAGGTCCCCAGCGCCCGTGCCGCCATCCGATTCGCATACACGGGGGAAGTGGCAGCGGACAGCATTCGGAAAGTCCTGGAAGTGCGGCGGCAGGCTAACAACTTGCAGATGAGCGGTTGCGTCACTGCCTGCGATGAGATGCTGCTGCGCAAGCTGAGTGCCTCCGCTGGCCTATCCCAGTACGCAGCCCCTACCGTAGCCGATGATGTCAAGATTGCCCAGCTGAACGCAGCTGTGGACCTGCTGCACTGCCAGGTGTTGTGGCCGGACCTGGGCCAGACGCCATCATTCGCCCAAGTCGTCAACACCGCAAAGTCGCTCCTCGTATCCCACTTCTGCGATGCAGTACTCACTCTCAACACAGCATCTCTCAGGAAGCAGATGCTGGCGCTGCCTGCTGTTGCCGTGGAGGCGCTCCTCTCCTCAGACGACTTCGGCACCGACTGCGAGTCCACCATTCTGCTGCTGCTGGCCACATGGATGAGGTGTAATTACGATAAGACCGACGACGAATCCCGCCGGCGGCTTTGTCGTACCGTACGGCTAGCATACCTCAGCCGGCCGTACCACAGCCTGATCCTGCCAGCACTCGCGGCAGACTATGAGCGCCTGGCGCCCTCCCTGGCGGCATGGTTTCCTATCACGGTCCTAGAAGCCGCTTTCGTCACGAACTTTGCCAGCGTTCCATTTGTCGAGAGGAGATACATGCTCTCAGAAGCAGCACAAGGGAGGAGCTCGTGGGTGCTGGAATCGCTGAGGGCTGTGCCCCGCCGCCAGTACCTTCCAGCTGGATTATTGGGGCTCACCTGTACCTGGCATATCCAAATGCAGCGGCTGCAGGACGCGATGGGCCCGCTGCAGGTGGCAGGGCGCGCGCAGAGCATACCCGCCACTTTTGATTGGGTCAAGCAGGACATGTTGACCTGGCAGGGCCTTGAGTGGCGCGTGGGCATCGTGCGAAAGTGTGGGGCGCCGACCTCGGGGCTGTATCTGTTCTGCAATCTGCCGTCCGCATTCGAAGTGCCGGGGTCTCAACTCTGCGAGATTAATAACTTGCTGCCTACATACGTTCCAGTGTCGGCACGGATCAGGATGCAGGGCGTTGTGCCCGAGCTCCCAATCGACAAGGTGCGGATAGGCTGGCCAACGGGTTGTATGACATTATACGGTGTGGAGGTGCTGTTGCAGCCGTTATGCCAGCAGCAGCAGCAGCAGCAGCAAGAGCAGCAGCAGCAACAGCCGCAGCAACAGCCGCAACAGCAACAGCAACAGCCGCAACAGCAACAGCCGCAACAGCAACAGCCGCAACAGCAACAGCCGCAACAGCAACAGCCGCAGCAGGAGCAGCAGCCGAAGCAACATCCCCCCGGCGCCTTTGCGGCAGCCTCAGCACCAGTAACGGCCGACCCGTTGGTGGCTGCACAGCAGGAAGACCATGCGCACAGCCGCACAATCAAAGGAACTCTGACACTGACGAGACGTGCCTTCTTTTAAGTGGACTTGACACAGACGTGCATGGGGCAGCCCTGGCGGGTGCTCCTGCAGCTTCTTCGTATGGACAGCGTGAGCGGGTGTGGTGTTACGGCAACCTACAAGTTGTATTGCGGCGGTTCGGCGGCAGCCGCCGCCCTGTTAGGTTGGGACCGCCATCGTTAGGTTGGGACCGCTGTAGTTTGTACGGCGTAATCAACTTTATATATATATATATACAGTCCGTGGGCCCCCGCGCCTTCCACAGACCCCCCCGCATTCGTGCGGCACTTGTAACTTGTTACTTGTTAGGTTGGGATGCGCCGTTATCAGGGTTGTATGAGTTCCGACAATCTTATTGTGGTATTGCGCGTACCTGGAGGACACAGTAGTCATGTATCTTCCACAACTTTAATGACGCCGAGAAGCTGGTTTGTTTGGGTGCCATGTTATGCGTTACAGGTGTGTGCATGCAGGCTAGCTTGTGTCGTGTAGGTTGTCATGTTTTTTGTGCTTGCTGTTGCTTCAGGATACAGTGTTTGCAAGGTCTGCATGTGTATTAGAGATACGGTACGGGACACCTCATGTATAGTTGCAAAAAGAAACGAAGTCTTGGCGACTTTGCCTAAGTAGTTCTTCTGTAGACATGGCCCGAATGCTGTAACGCACGTGGTAACGTGACTTTCGCGATCCGAGTAGCCTAATTAGGAAAATGTTATATGCTGTAGCTTTACCTGTGGGCAAGTAGTTTGTCAGCTTCCGCAACGCCGAAAAGAAGGGGAAGGCATTCCGCAGTCAACGCAGGACTGTGCAAGGCTATTTGAGTCGGTATGTAATTGGTTTCGGAGCATTTTGCTTGTTTGTTTTTCAAAGCACACAGACAGGAAGTTGTTCTCTGCTCAACGCAGTCATACAGTAGCTCGTACCGAGTAGCGATGCCCGCGTAATCCAGTACAAGAGCGGTGGGTGCTTCTTGTTATTCAGACGTAGAGTTGGCCACTTTGCAGCTGGGTGTGGAGTGCGTGGCTCGCAATAGCCGGTTTGGACCAGTTTAGAAATTACTGCAAAATGTTAAAAAATAGTTATGCAGTGCAGGTTTTCTGGAGCTGGAGATTTGCTGTAACGTCTTATTACTCAGCTATGTAAGGATGAGAGACAAGTTAAGTTTTCAATCCTCGAGAAACCATGCATGAGTCTTTGAGAGCGGAATGGCACCCAGGGTTAGGGATTCTGTAGCGGGCATACAGGCACGCGTTGAGCATGTAAAGATTCGCCGAGCGCGGGCTTGGGGGCTCTGACACGTGTCGCACGAGCTTTGCGGTGTAGGTTCCTAAAAGGGGCCAGGAGAGGAAAGCACATATTCATTCATATCACTCATGCCTGGTGCGCAGTGGCGCAGTGGCTGAGCCCGTTTCCAAAGGGTGTTAATTTGCATCAGGTCCGACCTGCCTTGGATTGCTACATGTCTTACCCTTCGGCTGCGTCTTCTGCGGTTTCACTTGCTGACACGCAACTCGTAGGGTGGACACGGGTGGTGCGTTGATATGGCCACATTGCTTGGGTGGCCTTTGGGAAGGTTGTTGATCTATTGTTAGCAAACCACGATGGTGCGACATATTGCCAACTTGCCTAGCTAAGCGAAGCGAGCCTTGCCATGTAGGACTCATCATGAGCTCCCAATTGTCTCCGTTAGCGTATTGCATTTGCACACGATGAGCGTTTGCGTTGAATTATGCGATCATATTGGCCGCTTGGATGGATACGCAGCTACAGAAAGTTGCATGCATGTTCCTCCAATTTCATGTATATTGTATTATTGCGGAGGTAGGAGCGCCTAGAGTTTACAATAGGTCTTTCCGGTTCTGTCTCCCTGGTGAGTGACATAGGTCCACTCGGACTTGCGTCCATATTGGACCTGACAACGGCCAACAACCGCCTTTGGAACCATATCGGATTTCCTACTCCATGTTTTGGGGTCTCCGTGGCATCACTGTTCACAAGCAAATTAAATTCCATACATGTCATGTATTTGCAAGACATGTTGCGCAGCTGTAACAGCCACGTCGCTCTTGCCATATGCTCACTGTTCAACTCAACTACGGACTCGGACTGTGAGATTATATTTTGTCAAGAGAAGATTAGTTGCTCAGGCACTCATAATTTCAATGAATCCTCTGGGCCGGACAGCACCGGAACGCAAGCTTGCACGCGAGAGGTGCTCGCCGAACCCATGCCAGCGCATCAGTTTGTGCTGAGATATGCTTCTGAAAGGTTTGCAGCCCAGGTGCGAGCTTGCCTCGGCCTGCTGCAGGTTACAGTTCCGCGCCAGCTGAGCATTTGATGTCCGGTTTCCTTGTTGCATGCAGCTTGCACGCTGGGGTTCCCAGGATCTGGCTACTGGCGTCCTGCTACGCATATCAGACCATGGGGAGGTTGCGTATGCCCCTGAAACTGTCTTGCAAATCCCATGCACACAAGTGGTGGAGGAAAAGATAGGAACGCCGCCGCGTTCTTCACCACAAGAAAACAAACCACGACACATTGCAGCAAGTACGGCAGATACTTCACCGTTCTTGCGGCCGCCGCAGCCAGAGCAGCAGTCCTCGTTGGCGGCAGAACGGGAGCTTGATGCATTTACAGACGCCGAACCGGCAGCACCAGCCAAACAACCGCCCACTCCACCAAGAGACCCGCGCCCTCCGCGCGCAACGCAGCTGCCATCCCCGCTGGCAACCCATCACGCACGTGGCCCAGTGCAGCCCATACAGCAGTCGTCGCCGCCGCCGCTGCCGGTGGCATGCTCTAGGGACTGGCCACAGCTACTCATTCCGCTGGGCGGCCCCGACGAGGTCCCCAGCGCCCGAGTCGCCATCCAGTTCGCATACACGGGGCAAGTGGCAGCGGACAGCATTCGGGAAGTCCTGGAGATACGGCGTCAGGGAGGCTACTTGCAGATTTATGGTTGTGTAGAAGCATGCGACAGGGTGGTCCGAACGCAACTGATGGCGGGCGCGACAGGCGATTCCGGAGAATTGTACGGATTAAGTGGTGCCGGCGTTGGTGGTGACGGTCGTGGTGGAGTTGACGCCAACGGCCAGGCAAGTCAGAACTTCAGCAATGGCAGCAGCAGCTCTTCCAGGGTCCAACAGGAGTCAGCCGCGCTGGAGCTGTTCGCGTGCGAAGCGCTGTGGCCGGACCTTGATGCAGAGCCGGCCTTCGCCGCCCTCGTGGAAGCGGCCAAACCCCTTTTCATCGCCCACTTCGGCGATACATTAAAAGCGCTTAATTCACCACCTCTGAAGCAGCAGCTGTTAGAGCTGCCTCCTGCAGCACTGGGGGTCCTTCTATCGTCAGACAGCTTTGGGACTGATAGCGAATCGTCCGTTCTGCTGCTACTGGGTATGTGGATGAGGGTCAACTGTGAAAAGATTGACGCACAAATCCGGGAACGGCTGTGCCGTACTGTACGACTTGCGCACCTCAGCCGACCGTACCTCACCCTGGTCCTGCCAGCACTCGCGGCGGACTACGAAAAGGACCCGGACGCACCCGCCGGCTGGTTCCCGATCGACCCCATGGTTGCAGCCTTTGTCGTTGGCTTCATACACGCGCCCTTGCCGGAGAGGCGAAAACTTATGGAAGCAAACGCACCCGGCCCGGCATTTTCCTCTTCCCACTGGCTCCGGCCTGAACCCAGGCCTTTGTGCATCCCGGACGAGGGCCTGGTCTTCCACTGGCATATTCCCCAACAGGAGCTGTTGGCGCAGCTGCAGCAGTTGCAGGCGCAGCCTGGCACGGCGCGGCGTTGCTACGCCACCTTTGAGTGCGGGGAGCTGAGCGTCGCCGCGTGGGGACTCTACTGGCGGGTCTCCCTGGCGATTACTGGCGGCACGCCGGCGGCCGGGCTGTTCGTGTGGTGTGGCTTGCCTCTGGCGATGTGCGCCCCCGGGTCTCGACTTGCGCTGAAGGACGGTCCGCGCGTGCTAACGCAGTTCGTTGCACGGCTGGTGGTGCACCGGCGGCATCCCGGGCTGAGTAACGTGGAGGTGGGCTTTGGGCCGGAGGACCTTCTAGAGGTGGGGCTGGGCCTTGGCTGGCCACAGATCCTGTTTCTGCGGCATCAGGAGGGTTTGGCGGCTGGTGCGGGAAGTGGCGGTAGTGGCAGAGGCAGTGGTGGCGGTGGCGGGATGAAGAACGGTAGGCGCGGCGGCGGCGGCGGTGGGGGTTGTGGGGGCAGCAGCGGTGCTGGGACTGGGCCAGCTGGGACTGGGTGTGGGAGCATCGGCGGTGATCTTCTAGCGAAGTGGGCGGACTATCTGCACGGCGGCCAGATCAGCGGGACGCTGACGCTGCTGCGGCAAGATTAAGGTTGTCCGCAGGGAGGGGGAAGCGTACCATAGCGTGTTCAAGGTTGTTGCTTGGAAGGCGCCAACCGAGTGGTGAGGTGTGGAATGTCACGAGAGGAGGGTTGACGACTTTAGCTGCCCAGCGGGCAAGAAGCAGCGGACCAGCGGCATATGGCAGGCGTGGCTTGCGGGATGCGCTGATGATTTATATTGTGCATGTGCGAACGGGCATGATCTCTTGTTGTTGAGCTGAAGAAGCCTCTGTTTTGTGGCAGGAGGTTGTCTGCAGGCGGGATTGACCTAAGGAAACCCGCGAAGGGTGTCCACGAGCTACTTGAGGTGGTCCTCGAGAAGTTTATGTATACATGTCGTAACCTCTTGACTGAAGAGAAGTGAGTGAGTGTTCACGTTATTCTTCGTACACTTCATGGGATTTCGCTTCGCATCACTCTTACGGTTGGACAGTTCAGCAAACGTCTCTGGACCTTGCCGCTGCGTGCCGCTGCATGCATTCGGCAGATATGGTGGACAAGCTTTCAAAGCCTCCATGGGTGTTAATGGTATGCAGGTATGTAGCTCGTTGAAGGGCAGTGCCAGGGTTGTGGCTGATGACCGGCTAGCTTGGGGTTCCTGGCGCAGGGTCTTTGGTAGCCTACTGTCCTTTCGTGACCCTGGCAAGCTCCTGGCAACTTCCGGTTCCTGGCTTGCTTTGCACATTTTAGAATGTTAGGGAAATGCTCTTAGGAATTCTCACCACATAACTTGTTGCTGCTACAATGCGCGCAGACAACTGCAAGGTTGGGCAATCGTGATGAGCGCACTTTGATTAAATTCTCGTGTTTTGACCGAGAATCAACCTCATAAAAACAAACCTAAGCCTGAGGAATCTTTGCCTTCCTTTTGTTGATTGACTTGGTTCGTGCGCTATGCGGACCCGAACCTTATGACAAGTAACGTTGGTTTAGTACGGGCGTGGTCCAAGCGGTCCTCCTTATCCCTCAGGTAGACTTAACTAGGTGAAACCAGGGGCATGACAGTATAACGAACTGAGAGAAATTTGCAAATCCTTGAAGGGAAATTAAGGGATCAATTGGAGGAGAGCTCAGCCTAGCTCAGCTGTTATGCATAACTGCCGTGCAACGCACAGCAACGTCGGTCACATCCATCTTCCCAATCCTAAGTAAATTTCAAGTTAGAAGCTCAGAATGATCAGTCGATGATACAGAAGACACAGCCTTCATCGTATTTGTCCAATGACGGCTAGCATCAATCAACATGTGGCAAGGACAATAGCATCGCTCTTTTCCTCTGGACGGGATGCTGACATGCTTATCGTGTTCTATCAAGAGACAGGTATCTTAACCTGTGAGCAAAAGCGGCTTGGAAAGAATGCCAGCCGTCGGCTTGTCCTCGGCGACCCTCTGCCAGCTCACTCCTGGATACTGCGCTATGCATCAGATCGGTTCGCAGTTGAAGTAAGGAATTTAAATATCTGTAATATTTCCGGGCCAACTCGCTGTTAACATAATCCTTTCATAAATTTCTGTAGTTCGAGCGCTGGGGCAAGCACAGGCCGGAACTGCTGCACACGCCAACCACACCTGATCATGTACCTTCAATTGAGGATAATGTTTCGACCGCCTCGTCGTCGGTTGCCCTTCCCCCGGACGACACCCTGGTGCAGACGGATGTTAAGCAGACGCCTCCTCTGCTTCGACTGCAGTCGGCACAGCACATGGGGGCTAGATCAAAAACGGAATCCCCGGCTTCCTGTGGACAGCAGCAGGGGGCCCTTTCGGCTCACAGCGGTCTGCCCACCTTCTTCATCCCCTTGGGCAGCCAGGCGGAAGTTCCCAGCGCTCGCGACGCCGTCCGCTTCGCCTATACCGGTGAGGTGACCGCGGGCAGTATTTGTGATGTGCTTGGAGTGCGGCGACAGGGTGCGTACCTACAGGTCAACGGCTGTACTGCCGCCTGCGACGAGGCGCTCGTTCGTATCCTAAAGGGCGTCGGAACCCCCAAAAGCAGCAGCACCACAACTAGCAGCGACAGCAGTAGCAATAGCACCGGCGGTGACGTCAGTAGTTGTCACCGCAGCAGCCACGGCACCAACAGCAGGCAGGCAGGCACCAGCGGCTTCAGGGACACGGGCGAGTTGCCCGAGGCTGTGGATCTATACCTAAATGATGCGCTATGGCCAGACGTTGAGGCGGAGCCCAGCTTTGCAACCGTCCTTAACACCGCGAAGCCGATGTTGGTATCCCACTTCAGTGACGCATTGAAAACTCTAAACACAATACCTTTGAAGCAGCAGCTGCTGGCGCTGCCTGCTGTCGCCGTGGAGGCGCTGCTCTCGTCAGACGATTTCGGCACCGACTGCGAGTCCACCATTCTGCTACTGCTGGCCACATGGATGGAGGCAAATTATGATAAAACCGACGCCGAATCCCGCCGGCGGCTTTGCCGTACCGTCCGATTGGCTTTCCTTAGTCCACCGTATCTCAGCCTTGTCTTGCCGGCGCTCGCGGCGGATCACGAGAAGAGCCAAGACGGGCCCGCCGGCTGGTTCCCAGTCGACGTGATGCAGGCAGCCTTCATCGCCAAACTGACAGACCTTCCAGAATGGGAACGCAAGGAGCTCGTTTTCTTGTCCGACCTTCCTGCGCACATTTTTGTGGCCCTGTCGCTCTCGCGCCGACGCATGTGCGTCCCAACCACCGGCCTCGTGTTCCCCTGGCACGTCCCGGAACAAGAGCTGCTGCTGTTGCGAAGCGACGCTGGAGCACTGTCACCCAGCTGCGCGCGGGCTACCACGGCTTGCACCTTTGCGGGTAACGTGAGCAGCTTTATGGGTTACGGCTTCTCATGGCGACTCTGTATTCCGTTAGTGGGGGAGGATATGAACGCGGCGCTCAGCTTGCATTGCGAGCTACCCGCAGCACTCGCTATCCCTGGATCTCGGCTCAGCAGGCCGTGCGGTTTGTGGACCCACGTGCCCGTGACTGCGGTGGTGCGGGTGCAGGGCAGGACCCTTGACGCTGGGGCCCAGCAGAGCAGCTTTCAGGTCGTGAAGAAGGGCTGCCGCGGCGATATGATCTGGGTCGGCATGCGATGGGACTTGGCGCTGCCGCCTTCGGCGCAACGGCAGCAGCCGCAGCAGCAGCGGCCACAGCTGCGGCAGCAGCAGCGGCAGCAACAGCAGGTGCTGCAGCAGCAGCAAGTGGCCGGCATCGGTGGGGCCGAGAGCCGTAGTCCCCTGGCAGCCTGGGCGCGGTACCTGCTCGATTGCAAGGTTAGCGGAACGCTTACGCTGCACGGGACTCCCTAAGGCGCGCAATTTGCAGTTAATTGGGCTGGTGAGAGGTGAGAACAAACCAGGAAATGGCGGGTGGTCACTTGTTATTGATTATGCATTGTTGCTTTTGCAGGCTTTGTATCATGGGTACTTGGTGTGGGAGGTCTGGTTTGGTGGCGCAGGCAGGAGTGTCCAAACTAATGTATTACGGGCCGAGGTAGGAGGCGATGCTTGCGTGTTTGTGGCGTTGCTATCCCGTGGTTCCATGTATCATAGCAGGTGCATTGCAGTTGTTTCCGTTACACAACCACTGACGAAAGCGGGGACTGTAGCAGCAGAAGGACGGCCACGGAGGATAGTGGCTGCTGTAGCTCAATCAACTGTGTTGGGCCATACGGCAGGGCGACGTTAAGAGATGTTGGTTTAAACGTCTTAGCGCACGCACGCAAGTGCAGGGCTTGTCTGGGCATTTTGTGTGAGCATTTCTTCTTTGCATGATTCCACGTGACCCGCTAGCAAAGGCTCGTAATCATTTTGGGTGTCTGACTGTTCGCAATACAGAGCGATAAGTGCAATGTTGTCGCGTAGCCTAAGTTTTATTTTTGGGCTTTCACGCTGCCTCACTGGCCTCTACGGTGGTCTTACTAGTGACTTATGCATGCAAATCCTGTTGCATGTTGAACTTGCATGTTCCTTTCGTTGATCTAGCGGTTGTATGGGCGCTAGGCAGTTGAGTATGTTGAGTACGTTTTTAGCGTTTGAGTACCACGGCGTCAGATAATAGTAAGTAGGAAGCAGGGCGCGGGAAGGCGACCGTGCGGTGTGTCGATTGAACAGGATTGAACAGGATTGAATTGTGTGGCTACCTGCTCAGAGAAAGCAACTTGATCCTGCCGAGAGCGTGAATCCTAGGCTGGCTTATTTATGAAGTACTTGATGGCTTTGCTAAACAGCCATGCGTCGTGTGAAGGAGGAATAAGTGCATGGATATGGCCTGCGAGGTGTGCAGCGGTTGGCGCGTAAAGTCAGACACATGTGCTATCCGCCGCAGACAAGGGTATTAGGAAGCCCTACTGCAAGCTGGGTTACAAATTTAGAGAGACGCGAGTCAAAGCGATTATGGAGTACTGGCCGAACTAGAATTTCGCGAGTAGTGTTAGGAACTGTCCGGTCTATCTACTATCGATGATGGCCCGAAGACATTGAGTCCCATCGCGGGTAACAGCTGTTGTCTCAACAACGTCCTGGCCCGTGATAGTGGGTAATAACTATTACAATAGGTTACTTGTGCTAATAGAATGTTGCTTTTCATGGCGCCCACTTGGTCTACATTGATTGCCGTACAGTCTACTATGCGTCATCAGCCCATGTCCACATGTACAACTCCACCAGCAGCGATCTCCAAAGCGATACTGTGGCATAACACCCCACCTGAGACGCTATATTTCAGCAGCATGGCAAGCCTGTCCACCCAGCCCTAGCCACTACAGAGCAACGATACGGATGGACGATATCAGGCCTAAGCGGAGGCTTGCCGTACATCAATACGAACGTTAACAGCGCAAAGCGTCACATGGATGCACCCCGGAAGCCGAAGGAGGATCATGCCAACCCGCGTGACACCATGTAGTTCTTGACGACGCTCATGACTTTGGCCACAAACGCTTCTAAATGGAAAATGGCCTTGGCGCCTTCTTGTAATCGCTGCTCGAATATCGCCGCTTGCTGGACTGTCTCAACCTGCCGCAAAAAACGATCAGTACGAGAAACGTGGATTGGCATGATGGTCCACACAAGCAGATATTACCTCGACATGAACATTAGGTGCAATTCTCAAACCTCAGCGGACCTGCTTGTCCGAACCGCTGCCTATCGTGTGTGCCCCATTACAGCCCCATGATGCTCAACTGCAATGTCATGCACCGACACGCCATGCCTAAGGGACAACAACCGGGGAACAATGCCCTCCCACCTTGACCTCATCATCCACATTCTTCAACAGCTCCAACATCAGTTGCCGGATAATGAGCTCCGGCGGAACGCAGCTAGCCAGTAGCTCGTACAGCTTGCCACGAACCTGTGTTTTTGGGAGGCCATAATCACAGTTTAAAATTGTCGCCATTAGGCCTTCCCCAAACCGTAGGCCCCGTCCCCTTAGCACCACCGTGCAATCTTTAGCTATCCAACACCCTTTTCCATCGCGCTGCAGCTGCGTGCTGCCAATTCATGTCCTGTCTGTTACTCCCGCATAGTCGCAGCCCTCTAGAGGCCCAATTCACCAGGAAGAGTTGCTTTGGCGACTGCTCTTCCAGGATGTTCTTGGCGACCTCTGCAATGTACAGCTCCCAGTCTGCCCGGTTGGGCTCCTGGTCGTCACCAAATGGGTAGCGTTCCACCTTGCAGACCTCCAAAGCCAGCAAAGCGCTGCACCACCATTATCAACACCATTAACAACAGCAGCGATGACAGCGACAGCGTCAGCAGCAGCAGCAGTGTCAGCTTTGTCAACATTAAATGTCGTTAGCAACGGGAACATCGAAAGGAAACATTTTAAGCCTCCAAAACGCAAAAAGCAAGCACCAATCCCTGGCAATATGGAACCCGAAGTGAGTGAGCTGAGAAAGAAAATCTGAGGACATAGGGCGGTAAAGACTCCATTGAAACTTGCGTAGCTAACGAAGCACCCTGCCACCTCACCGACGCATACTCCGCGACGCGTAGTCCACCAGTCGCGCTGCGAACACGGGCGGCAGCGTGAGGTTCTCCTTTTTGGCGACCCCCGCCAGCACTTCCATCATTTGGTCGTCCGTGGGCGCTGCCACCCGTACACACAAGCACCGGGACCGCACCGGCTCCATCACCTGCCATGATCATGACATGGACGAACCGTTTTTGTTCTTGGAAAGAAACAAAAACTGAGAAGGTTTGCATATGCACAAAATGTATAAACACGGCACGTTTCCACGCAAATCGAGCAATGTGCCCCACATGCGGGGACTAACTCCTGAACGCGGCTGTTGACATAAACCACACAACAAGCGTGGGGGCCGTTTATGCTAGCTGAGGTCTTGGACAGGCTCAGGAGGCGGAGTGATGCGAGTAACCTTTGAGGCATGCCTAAAGGACGGAGCGGTCCAGCTTCAGATATAGTTCACGCGGCAAATTGTGGGAGCTGCCAGACCAACGCATCGCCTCCTGTTCGCTGAATTGTCGCGGCTACCCCTACACTACCACGTTATCGAACAGGTTGTGAGGTTTTGGTGTCCGTTGACAGCGTGGGTCTGCGGCACACCAAGTTTTGCGACAGGAGGTCCTAGAATCCATCTCCAACCCCGAAGGGGCCGGATGGGGGGCACTACTCCTTCGTTTTCTACGTTTTCTGGGGCACGACGTATGGAAAGAGGCCCCGCAAGGGCTACACGAGGTAGACGAACGAGTGGAATGGATGATGAACAGGCCATTGCCAGGAGGTGTTGTATTGGAGTTCAAGGACCGATTGGTGAGTGGTTGGAAGCACACGCGTCTAGATGTCCAACCAGACGTGTATCCGTCGGACGGCAAGCAACCAGGAATTCACATGGCGAAGTATTGGATGGGTCTAGCGGCCGAACAAGCGGGCAGGAAGGAGGTGCTCCCGCACATCACAATGTTTATCCCGCGTTCAGCGAATCGCAAGCTTATGCAGTTTAGGCTTTGCTGTTGGGCATTGGCGGTTAACAGAGCGCGCAAGGGACGGCGTTATATACCTAGGGAGGAGCGAGTATGCCCTTGCTGCGGCACTGATAGCCATAATGAAGGTGAAAAGCACATTTTGTCGGACTGTCCGGTGTACGACAAAATCAGATCTGATATGGATATCCTACGCTTTGAGCATATGAAGGACGCTATGAAGTGGGAACCTGAACGCCTGGCAAGGATACTGGAACGTATCTGGTCCCACCGCAACGCTATCGTTCCCTTTGGTCGCTAGTATCCTTTATCACTTGCTTTGTCTGAAGTGCGAGGTACGATGGTGCTTATAGGCAATCTGGCAGCCCTTGAGCCCTCGGCTCGTATTGGGCGGTTTGCAGGTACGGGGAACGCAACCCACGACCATGTAACATGCAACACACACACACACAACCCAGCGCATCCCGTGGCCCCCCCCAACCACTGGCCCGGTCCCACACCGACCCGCGCCCGCACCTCTTTACCTTTGAGATGTTGTTGCAGACCATGACGATGCGGCAGGCAGACGAGTACTTCTCCATGGTACGACGGAGGCCTTGTTGGGCTTCCCTGCTCAGCCGGTCCACCTCATTGAGCACCAGGACCTAGCAGCAATGGTGGTTGGATGTGAAAGTGAAATCCAGACTAAAGGTGGAAGTTTCAGGCCAGGACGATTGGGACAGGAACTCTGGGTACTTACTACCCGGCTGAGGCTGGGATGGACGGGATGGCAAAAGAGCAGGATAGAAGTGAGAGGAACATCAATTGCGTACGAGGGAGGCGGAGATGATCCTCAACATGATATGACGGGGCATGGCCGCGTGAAACAGTTAAGCGTCGTGTGATTTACATCCGCGTCCCGCTCTTCCTCCGCCCAGCTCTCTCCTCCTCCAGATCTACTCCACAGCGGACCGGCCCCCGCTCACCTTAAAGCCCTTGTTCCCATCCACCCCCAGCGGCCTGTTCCTTGCCATGTCTTTGATAATCTCCTGCACCACGTAGCGGTCGTTGTTGCCCACATCCGAGGGATTGAGCTCCAAATGGTAGCTGGAGGAAATGGTCGTAAGCTCCACCTCAAGCTTGCGGCTGGGCAACTGCATCAACGCAGGAAATGCCCTGAGTGTGAAGGCGCTAAGGTGTGGTGTGGTGTGGTGTGCGAAGGTTTGCGGGTACTGGGTAACCAGGCAAGACATGCAAACCATTGCACCAGCCAGGTCGTACCGTGCCTTTGGTCCATAGCGCTTTCCAAGAACTGGTCCAAGGATGCCCAGACTTCCTAAAACCCTGGCAAAGTTTTGACACAGCTCAACCATAGCTCTCTGGCAGGATCTCGAGCCTCCGCCTCAGGCCTCGCCGCCGGGACCCTTCGCGCGGCCTGGACCGCATCCGCCTTACCACGGGCCGGTGGGGGTTGCTGCATGCCCCAGAATCCCACGTGGTGTGAAAAATCACTGTCCATCACACAACCCCGAAACCACAACCCCGAAAAAGCTTCACGGTGCACGGTGTTGACGAAGACATGTGCCCAGGCCACATGCTACGTGTTCTCCCTCCGTCCTGTCATAAACGGGATGCGGGAAGACGTAGCATTCCACAAGCCCAATCTCCCTCGTCTCCTTCACGCACAGCATTTCCAGCCTAACTCAGCATTTCCAGCGCCCTCCACGCACATAGTCTACATGTACATGTCCCCACCGTCATACACGCACATATGAGACATGACCCACCTCAATCTGCCATGGTTTGGTCTCCACTCGGATCTGCGGACGAGCGGGCCGCCGGTATGCAAAAGCACATCAGTCAGGTGGCTTGCAGGGTGGGTCCGTCAGGACGTTGTTTCGGTAGGCGGGCAAAGGGGCTGTCCGCTATGTACCGTGTGTGCACAAAGTGGGCAGGGATCAGAGTACCACCGACCAGGGGCTCCATTTCTCGTTTGATGCTGCACTCCCCTGGGCTCCTAACTTACTGGTTTTGCTCGATAAGATGGCAGCTGCGTGTTTTGCCCTTTACTTACATTTCGCCCAAGCGTACTCAAGCCGTGCACAAGGCATCCTTTTTAACATATCCGACGCCTCCGGCATCTTGTTTGGCATCCATTCAACGCACGGATAAGCCATGTTGCTCCGAAAGAAACATGGGGTCCAGGTGCATGTGACCCAGATCGCTGGGCCCTTGTCATGCAAATGTGACACGCACAGGCTGGCTGGTCGCTATGCGTGTGACGTTGAAGGTGTCCCTTTGTAGCACAAACTGCTACAAGTAGCCGTCCTTTTTACCGTACATGGTTACAACTTGCTCTTGTCGACCGGCTGGCAATTTGGGTTTGAAGCATAAAGCCCGCTGTGGGATTGCAAATAAGAAACACTCATCCAAGCCTCTTAGCTTAGATACAGGCAGCAGCCTCCGGGTCGACGCCGGACAGAGGTTGGGGCCGCAGTAGCTCCCCGGAGCTGCAAGAAGGCACAGCGGGTGCTGCACGCACCTTTTCCACGCCAGGGCCGTAGATGGCGCGCAGGAGTGCCATAACCAGCGTCTTCTTGCCCGCGCCAGGAGGTCCATAGAAAAGTGTGTGTGGGAAGTCTCCCGCTGCTACCTGCCGTTGTTTATGGGGGATGTCGGGGGTGTTAGCTAAGGCCATGTGGCCAGCATAAGGCTGCCAGGGGCCTGTAAGGTTTCAGCAACAATCTCAAGTACGGGACGCGTGCCCAGTGTGCGAACCCTATGGTCCCTGGCACACAATCCCTCGCCTACCAATTTCTTAAGATTGTCCGCGATCTGCTTGTGTATGACGAATTTGTCAAACGTTTGTGGTCGATACTGTAGAAAAGTAAATTACGAAGCGGTGAACTTTTCCTTCCCCACTTTTGGCGCGCACAACCGTTATAAATCATTACCTTGTCCACCCAAAGCATTTTTTTAGCTCCCAAAAACACCTGCTTTGCTGCTAGGAGGTTATCCTGCCGTTTGTGCCTAAGAGTCCTGCTCGTGAAATTTTCAAGCGTTTGAAATCAACACTCAAATTGTGACCTCCAATTATGTTAAAGACAAAAACAGGCACATGCAACGTGGGAAAAGCTGTTTAGTTACTAGGTTTTGTTGAAGGAGGCAAACCTGGTTGGGCAGGGTAACGGTCGTCGTACCGTCAGCGGTGAACGAGACCCGGCGGGTCCACCTCCTGTGCGGAAAGCTTCCAGATATAGATCGTTTCAACCACCTTGCGTATGGGACATGGCGTGTACCTAACGAAATTCGCAGCGCAATTCTGTCTGTTTTGTGTTGCTCGCATAATTGGAATTACCGTCGAACTTCTTTGACTTGAGCCGTTTACGCTTATGACAATATGAAGGTAGATCGCTTGCGTTAAGCAGTCCCAACCCGGCGACGCAAGGCAAATTGTACCTCCCTCACGTTTGTCGGAGTGACCGACGGAGGTTGACGTCTTGCAACTATGGGTGTTCCAGCTTTCTACCGGTGGCTGAGCCAAAAGTAAGCTTTTGTGGCGGCCGGTTCGTTCTGTGCGGCTGACGGCAGGAGCACGGGCAAGCGCGTTGCCGCCTTTCCTGTATTATAACCGAGGGTTTACGATTCATTTGCTTAGGCAAGCTCCGATTGGAACGTAAACGAGGGGTGATGCCATCTCATTGAAATGCCTTGACTGTTGAGCAACGGCTTGTAATGGCCCTTGTCACGGCGTCTGACCGCCTCAGGTATCCGAAGATTGTAAAGGATTGCATCGAGGAGTTCCCGGAACTGGTGGGAGATGTGGAGGTGCCCGTGGACACGTCCAAGCCAAACCCCAACGGCATGGAATTCGACAACCTTTACCTGGTAAGTTGCGGGGCCTTTACATCGACAAGCACTCACATACTTCGACAGACGCACTTCTCCCTCACAGTTACTGCTCACACGCACCAGTTCACAGTACCCATCGTCTCCTGGGCAAGTGCGTTCAACTTCCATGAGCTTGGCTCACGCAAACCAGCACCCTGAAGTGAACACCTTTGCCAGACGTCTCGATTGCATGGCTGCCTGGATATCTGCACTTTAATGATATTGTCTTTTCCATCACTACTCCAACCCCCGCCCGTGGCCTCCCGGCTCTGCAGGATATGAACGGCATCATCCACCCCTGCTTCCACCCGGAGGACCGGGTAAGCTGGGCTGTGGTTCGGGGATCGCTTCGGGTTGCTCCTCATGGAAGGTGTGTTGGAAAGTGACCGACACTCATGTACCAAGTGAATGGTGACAGCAGTAATAGGTCCGGCGCTTTGCTGATCCTAACAAGGTGCTCCTTGTTGGGGTAGAAGGTTCGCTGGGATAGGATCTTCCCTTTGGAAGCGCTTGCTTGCGGAGGACATGGCCACCTACAATCCGACTGCCGCCCGCTTATGGAAGGAGGCATTAAAGGGCTCGCTGATGCGAGCTGGAGTGGCCCCAAGAAGAAACTTCACCTTTCATTCGTTCCGGTCCCTAATCTACTGTGTACATGGGCACACGCGATGCCCCAGCTCTATCGATGCGTCCGTCCCCATGAGGCCCCATTTCCTCATCGCGGCTCAGTTCATAAAAGACCTCACTACGTGCCTTCCCGCCCCGGGTCACCCCCCTGCAACATCACAGCCCGCTCCAACCACCGAGGCCGAGGTCTTCCTCAATATCTTTGACTACATCGACCGCCTCTTCTCCATTGTGCGGCCCCGCTGTGTGCTTTTCATGGCCATCGGTAAGTCCTTGCGTTAGTGTGCAGAGGCCCGGGGCAACCGACTTGCCCATTTGCTGTATGGATAACCAAAAGGGAGCCCAGACATTTGTGGGAGACTGTGTTGCCCGCGAGCCATCCCTAAGTTACACGGTCGGGGGCTCTTGCATATGAGGGCCGCCTTGACCCACCTGACCCTGGGGTGGGCCATGCATGTGTGCATGTTGGTGCTCAGGTGTGTTTTGGTCCTGGACGCCAGCTCAACTGGGATATTGGACGCGTGCACATAGGATCGCGAGCATTGCGCCTCAGAGCACTCTTGAATAAAAGATGGCCTTCTTCGCGCATCCGACGTTCACGTCCCACATGCACGGCCACTCGCAGATGGCGTGGCGCCCCGCGCTAAGATGAACCAGCAGCGCAGTCGCCGTTTCCGGGCTGCTCAGGACACGGAGGAGAAGGAGCGTGAGGAGGAGCGGCTGCGGGCGGAGTTTGAGGCGCAGGGCATCAAGGTGTGATTATGGGGGGCTGACGGTTGGTGATCTGGTGAACTGGAGTGGTTAGGGTCGGTAGCCCTCCGTAAGCTCTGGCTGGGTCCGGCTGGTGGGTTGTAAAGGTTGGGGCTGGCTGGGGCCTAGATAGATAGGGCATGATGGTATCAAGGCAATTCTCTTACTGCTTTTTATATTTTTAGGAGACATCGATATTTTTTGCGTAAGCTCTCCCTAACCATTACTGCTCCGGTTAGTTGTTTGTACGTCAAGGGTGGGGGTGTTGGGCATAGTAGTAGTAGTAGTAGTAGGGAGCATGTTTGGCGTCGGGGAGTGTGCCAAGATGGAACCCCAAATCTGCAGTCCGGCGGGTAGGCCCCATGGGTGAAGGTATGCGGTTCTGGGTGATTTTCGACTACGCTGGACGTGGTGGTTGGCGGTGTACGCAATGCATGTATGTATGTGACGTGGGGATGAGGTCAGGATTAGGGGGAGGGAGAGGGGATGAGGCTTACGTGGGCGAATTCTCGATGTCAACGCCACCTCAAGGCCTCTTCGCTTCTGCCATATCCAGCACACAGCTCACGGACAGCGCGCGCTGCGGCCAATCCTTTTCCTCATCTCGTTATCTGCCTCCGCCGCCGCCGCGGCTGCTGCTGCTATTGCTCGGCCGCTTTGTTGCTTGGCTGCAGGTGCCCAAAAAGGAGAAGTCGGAGACGTGGGACAGCAATACTATCACCCCAGGCACGCCCTTCATGCATCGCCTCAGCATCGCGCTGCAGTACTACATCCACGTCCGCCTCAACGGTGACCCTGGCTGGCGGGGCCTGGAGGTGAGGCAGCACGCAGCACCTAAACGCAGGATTGATTGCTTTTGTTGGGTGCAAGGGCGATGAGGTGTGCTTGAATTAGAGCGGAGATATGCTGCGGTAACACGCTCTCCAGTGCGGACGGCGCCACCTCAACATGCTGCCAAGGGCCCTGGCAGGGGGCAGGGAGAAGAATGAGGTTAGGACCGCAGAAGGGTACGCTAATCAGCGGTGGTGGCGTCGGCTGTGATGACTGCAGCATACAGTGAGCTTGCAGAGGCAGAGGGCTGTGTGTGGGAGCGGAGGAGCCGTGACAGAAGCCCATAGAACCTTCTCTGGGCGGTTCTTATGGCGGACGAGGACGAATGAGGGGATCCATGGAAACGACAAGGGAGGACCCCGGGACGAAGGGACGAGGGTTGCACCTTGGTGGACTAGAAAGGGCCAGCGGGACTGCCACATACAGCAAGTAGCCTGTGAGGAGGTTTTTACCACCATCCCCCTCACAAGATACACCTTCCCTGGGCAGCCGCATCGACCGTGTCAGCCGGGTCTGTCCTATCCCAAAGAAACCCGCCTGCCCTGCTCTGCACAACACACACGCGCACGCCATCACCACCACTACCTCCCCACGCTCCCCGCGCACCGTTCTGCTGAGACAACGAGTCTTCTTTTCCTTAACCCTATGGTTGTTGGTGCATTAGAAATTACAAATAATATTACAGTTTAGAATTCTAATGAGAAAGTTAGAAGACCCCTTGAGAACAGATTAGAACGTTCTAATGTCGTACACCCATTAGAATGGCTATTCAGGCCGCCTCCGCAGCCTGCAACGGCACATTTTTCTAGGGAAAATGGCTGATGCTGATGCTGGGCCATCAAAACCACCAGTTTCGAAGACTCCTAAAGCAACATACACTTATGGCAACAAGGAGCTAGACGCTCCAGCCTACGCGGAAGCCCTGAAGAGTGCAAAAGCAAGAGGCAGTGCTTCCTGGTGGTCGTTTTTCACCGTGATCTTGACAGAAAGTGTCGTGAAGCTGAAGTGCACCATTTGCGGCGAGGTGCTGGGTGCCAAAAATCCGTCTGCAACAGCTCCCAACCATCTTAAGAAGCACAACAAGGCAGCAGACAAGGCGCAGGAGGGCAGTGAGGCGGAGGGCGCCACACCTGCAGTGCCGTCCGGCGCGAAAAGGTCTCGCTCATATGACGGCACGCCCACTCCGTCCATGCGGCTTTTCATGCCATCTGCCAACCAGATATACGTCTTCCTGAAGAATCTGGCCTTGTTCTTCTACACCACCAACATCGCCCTTCACCTTATCGAGAACCCCTACCCTGCGAAATTAGTGACCCAGAGGTCACTTCGACCGGGGGTTTGGCTGAGAAGTCCTGCTTACGGGTGTCGTAGCCCCGTAAAAACCGTTAAAAACACCTGGGTTAGCATCTGCCGTAACCATGGTGAAACTCCGAAGTGAAAAGTCCCCCTCCCTGAGAAGTTACCCCAGGTCTTCTAATATTATTTCTAACGTTCTAACTAGAAATAATATTATAATTAGTAGAGAACGCCTGAAATTCTAATAATTTCAACAACCCTACTTAACCCTCACCTCGTGACCTCCTAGGTGGTTCTGTCGGACAGTAACGTGCCTGGCGAGGGCGAGCACAAGGCCATGGCGTTTGTCCGCGAGCAGCGCGGCCTGCCCGGCTGGAACGCCAACACGCGACACTGCGTGTACGGCCTGGATGCGGATCTGATCATGCTGGCGTTGGCTACCCACGAGCCGCATTTCGTCATCCTGCGTGAAGTGGTCTTCAATGTGGCGCAACCGGTGAGACACCCAGAGGGTGGGGCGGGGTAAGGACGGGATGAATACAAGCGGACCCGCACAGTCCATTGGGAGTGGGGCAAG